TTTTGGACTGTTTGGGGTTTGAAAAACTCGAAGGGCCCCCGGCCTCCCGCAGTCAGAACTGCAGCGGTGCGTGCGCGTGTGCGGCTTTGGGCGTGCGCGTCGTGGGCGCTCCGTGTGTGCAGCGAGTCCCTGTGCGTGTGAGTGTTCACGTCGAGTCTGTGTGTGCAGGGGGTGCGTGGACGTACGTGCCCGGCGCGGTGCGTGTGTGCACATCGCTGGGTGCGTGTGTGCACGTCGAGGGGTGYGTGTGCACGTCGCGGGGTGCATGTACGTGTGTGTGCACGTCAGGATGTGTGTGCTCGCGCGCGCACCGTTGGGGCTCGTCCGCGGGCCCGATGCCTCCCTGCGCGCTCGGCCCCGTGCCAGCCCGACGGGGCGCCCGGCCCGCGGGGACCGTGTCAGGGAAGCAGCAGGATCCCAGCGCCCCCGAGCCCGCCTTTGGATCCAGCGGCTGGATCCCGGAGCTCCCCGGACGTGCGGCGTGTCCCAGCAAAGCCGCGGTCCCCGGGGGCGGGTTGCGGCCGGGCCGCGGGAGCCGCCGCTGCCGGAGCGGGGACACGAACACGACAGGCGGCGGGGGGGAAGGTCCCGTTTTTACAGAGGAGGAAAGCGGGGGCCGTTTTTATCGCTACGATTAATTACCGGTTAGGACATAAGTGTTCGCGCGTGGACAGACCCCCCGCGCGGCCCCGTCCCATCCCGTCCCGCTGCCTCCCGCCGGGCGCCGCTCCCGCTGCCCGGGAAGGCGCCGCGCCGGGAAGCGGCGCCGGGGGAGCGGGGCGGCCCGCGCAGCTCCGGCCGTGACGGCGGCGGCTTCGGCGCGTTTCGGTTTTTCACAATAAACGGAAACGCTCCTCGCGGGGCTGCGCTGCCTCCTCGTCCCGCGCTTGCCCGGGCCGGGGGGGGAAGAGACACGGAAGGGGCGACCAGGGGGAGCAAAACCTGCGACACGGGGGTCGCGGCCCGGGGGCAGCGGCTGCTTCGCGCCTCTTATTTTAACAACGAGAGAGGGAGGCTGAAGTGCACGGAGGCAAATTCCTGGTTTTGGTGAATTTGGGGGGGGGGGGGGGAAGGGGGGGGGGGCAATATGCTGGTTTTGGTGAAGTGGGGGGGGGGGGGGGCAGAGGGGAAAAGGAGCAGGGAGAAAGCAGAGTCAGACACCGAATTTCCAAAGCCACTTTATAAAGCAAATAAAAAATATTTACTGATTCGATACACTCACACCAAAAAAAATATATATCGAGAAAGTGTACTAAAAAAGGATGGAAATTATGCATTGAGTAGCTATTTTAAATTAGATATCAAAATGGACAAATACAGACTCGGGCCTCGCTTATGTTACAAGAACAGAGTCAAGAGCTGGCACAAGTTGTACAAGTGGAAATGTTTTACCGCAAAGTCCCAAAGCTGGTTCCATTTTTTTTCCCCTATTTTTTTCTTTTGTGAGAAATTTGCAGAGGTGCCGGCAGCTCCGTGGCCGCCGCGCTGCTAAAAATCCCGTGTGCAGTGGCTGGGGGGATGCAGCAACTCGTAGGACGAGGCAGAACCGCGCACGGGCGCTCGTCCTGACCCGCCGCCCCCCACATGCCCCAYTGCAGCCACAGGAGCCTCCCAGGAGAAAAAAAAAAATCGTTTCTGTAAGAAATGTACACAAAAAGGATAGATTTAAAAACTACAGGGCTGGTTGCGGGATTCCATTTTCCCCACCCCATTTAATTAAAAAAAAAAACCCTCGCACTCTTTTCGATCCTTCTCTAAAGGAAAGGAGAGCCGGTGGGGCGGAGGGCTGGTTCCAGCTCTATCTCCCGGCTAGTTCCAGCTGTATCTCCCCGCGGGCGGCGGCAGCGGGTAGGGCCTCCCTGGGCCGTAGGCCTGCAAAGGCAACAAAGGCAGCTGTTAGGATTAAAACGGTGGGAAGGGGCAGCTCCCCCAAGGTCCCTGCTCATGGGGTGGGAAAGAGGCCCCAGGAGCCCCAGTGTCCAAGGGYGCCAAGCACCAAGGAGCTGCCCCCGGGCTGCAAGAGCACTGCGGCTTTGCTGGAGACGCTTCCCTTGCACAGGGAATAACACCAGGAATGCTGCRTTAGGAAAGCCCCTTGGAGATGCGAGAGGCTCGAATACTGTGGGTAGGAAGAGTTAATCACTTTATAGAAGGGGAAAAAATCATTTTTCTTGACCAAATATGTTCTAAGTTCAGTTGCAAGCAATCTTAGGCTAAAGTATAAAAAACAGAGTTTTCTAGAGGCATGTGCATAAAAGACAGATTTTTACAGATAGATTTAAAAAAAGTATTATTTCTGTAACAGAAGYGGCATTTTTCACTGCTCCTTCAGTTTTAAATACTAGAGGCAATATCTCTTGCACGCCTTGGCAACAACTGCAGACTAACTATATATTGGCCTTTCAATTTACCTACCTTAACAGAAGGTTTCATAAAAGGGAAAGCTCCATGTGAAACATTTCCAGCTATTCCAAACCCCAATACATTTTCAATACCAAATGTCAGCAGTGTTATCGTGCCATCCACAGCTAAAGTGGAGAAAAAAAGGCTTTCTCAAGAGAAACCAGTTTCTTATACCCTATTTACAAAAAAACCTAAAGATGCACCACTCCCSGCCATCAGGAAGGTCTTCTTTCTATATATTTATATACAAATAGATTTTATTGAAATTAAAAGAGAAACAAGCTGCGCATACCCCTGCAAAACCCCTTCAGTTTTACAAATAGCTCCCTGCCAGCTCGTGTATGARGGTCCCATTTATGTACCTTTAAAACAGCCACCTAAGAGCTTATTTGGGCACCCAATCACACAGAATTATGAAATAACCCCCCCCAAAAGCCAAACACCTCTGCTACGGGCTGACTCCTCTGCTGCGATGCCTGGAGCCGCTGTGGGAAAAGGGCCCCTATCCCAGAGCCACCCAGATCCATGGCAGTTGTATTAATTTTGCGAGCACTTTGCAGCAGGGTATTTATTAACCTCTCCAGGCYGTGTTCTGTATGCGGCAAAAGGGGRAAAAAAAAGAGAAAAATAGAGAATTCCGAGCTGAAAGGGCCCAAAGATAATTATTTATGCTCCTGTGTGTCACCACTTCCACTTGAATCCCTTTTCAAGGCTTTAGAGCTTTGAAATTTATAGACAGCAAGGGCGGATTCAATTATTGCGGCGGCTCACGGCGCACTCCGAGAGGGCTCCTGGTTTCACATTCGTGCTTGGCAGTGCCAAAGAAATAGTGGCCGTTGGAAGACCACTCAGGAAAACAACCTGGGAAAGGCACCTGTGCAACTCAAACAGTGACTGAAACCAGAAAGCACCGTGATGGATAAGGAAAAATGACTTAGGAAAAAGACAGATTTAGTTGGGATATTTCCCCCCATGACCGGCGTGTATTTGCACGCCAGAAGCTGGACCTGTGCCCAGGTTTAGCTCCGCTGTGCAGCGGCCGGGCGCCAGGGTGTCCATGTCCCGGTGCCTCCGGGATGCTCTGAGCGGGTGCGCGCCGAATCCGGGCCTCTCTCACCCCACTCTTCCCTCTGGCGTCGGCACTGCAAGGGAAGGAGCAGGGGAGGCTCCTCAGGCCTCTCCGCAGGGCTCGGCGGCACCACAGTGGCGCCGCTGGATCGTGCCGGCCGCACCGCGGAATCCCGGGCGGAATTCCCACAAAACCGGGAAGGGCATTAGCACCAGCAGYAAAGGAGGCCAGGATGTTATCGAGGACACGTAGTACAGGACAGAATTTATCTATGTGCAAATTGCCACCTACTTCTGCTGGCAGCAATAAATAGGAGAGACACCAAATTTGTGTTTGCTGCATAATACAAGTATTTGAGGGAAAAAAAGAAAAACTAAGAAGGCATTAGAAATGTGGCACGTGCAGGAGAAGGAGCTGAACCAGACCCCCCAGAAGGGAGATTTCAAGTCGCTCATGCCCCAGTTTCCATACAAAGAGCTGCTGTGAGYTCTTCCCCTCAATTCCCCATTACCACTCCACAAACTCCCACAGCTGAGCAAAAGTTCAGATTTACAAAACCTGTGAGAGAACGGAAACACCCCACGCCTCATGTGAAAAGCTGTGATGTATTTTAAGTTAATTATCACCTGGTAAATACACGAGAGCTTATGCAGATTGTTTAAATTGTAGCATTAGAAAAAGGAAAGCAAAACAAGCTGCTGTTTTCAACATACATGTTTAAACGCAGCGTTTTATAACGTAGTGATGGCCAGGTCACTTACAATTTGGGAAGAGGTTCTCCTATTTTGTTCACTTGTTCTCATTTAAGCACCTGTTTTCATGTGTAATTCACAGCCTTGCTCGTTTCTCTCCTCACCAGAACATGACATTAATGTAGTTTTTCAGTCCTAAGAAATCTAGTCAGCATTTGAGCAAAACACATCATTAAGTTTTAAGAAGCTGCGTTTTACAGACGTACTGGCCAGAAACTCTTCTGTCCCCCAGGCACGCAGCTTATGCACTTTCCTGCAGCAGGGCAAACCTGGCTGCAACGCTTGCTTCCCAATTATATTTTCCCAAATATACAAGTGTGTAATTTACTGGCCCACTTGATCTAGCTCTAACAAAGCAGTTGCAGCACAGGCGCTTAAACAAACTCAGCTCAGGAAGTCCTGGCGAGGCTGCCCCTGCACCTTGTGGCCACGCATGAAGGAAATGCAAATCCCAAGGAGAGAAATGTGGGCAAAAAAAGGGCCCGTTTTCATACCTGTCTTCCCCTGTCCATGCGATCTTCGGGTCTCTGTGGGTAGTTCATTGGTCCGCCCAGGGCCTGGTACTGGCTCGGCTGGTACTGTCCTTGGGCCGGCAGCATGCGGTTCCAAGCGAGGAGAGGGGCGGCCCCGGCGCTCCTGTGCGAATAGAAAGGAATTCGACACTGAGCTTAACTCTTAAAGGAAGGCTTTGGTGTGACACAGTGTGCTAGGCTGATGGCATTGGGGTTAAGTGATGTGATCGGCATCGGAGAGAAACGCTTCCACCCCGACCACGCACACAACGGAGCTGTGGATGGTCATGGAGACACAGGGTGGGGAAAAAAGCTCTTCCAGAACCTCTCACTGAAGGGCCGTGGGTGTTACTTGCTTTCCTCACCACAGCTTGGAAGTTAGAGGACTGTTCTACTGCAAAATCAGTTTTACAGACCAGACATTTGGGTGTTTTTTTATTTTAAATCCCTTGGCAGGATCTTGCCCACCTTGTGCCGGAGGGGCAGATCTGCCACTTCATCAACAGGGACCTGGAATGCAGACTGAAACGCAGCCACGGCCACGTTAGCTCGACGTAACACGCCATCCAAACAGCAAACATGTGCCGGACAGCAGAATGAGGCTTTATTTTCGAGACGCCCAGGCCCTTTCTGCGAGTTCATTCTTTGTAGTTAATTGCAGGTTGCAAATGAATTCTTACGGCGAGCATGCTGAATCTAGGCTGGGGGCCGGGGCTGTTTTTCCCAGCCATTATCCTGCTCAATATGTCAGAAGGTCCGATCGGGAAGAAACCTTTTCAAGTTCTATTGATGCCGTTTTCAATTGACCACGGTGACCTAGCAACATAAGCACTAATTGGCAGGGCCCGGCTGACATTCGGCGTACAGTTCAGAYGGGAGCGCCAATCCTGCGTCCATTATAGGCTAGTTTGCCGTCCGGCATCACGACGAGCAAGAAATGTTTTAATTGCCTTCAAGTGCCCACCTAGCATTACTAGCATAAAGCAACAGGTGTAACGCAACAAATCACTGTTTGCTTAAAAATATTTAGAAATTAGGAAAAAAAAAAAAAAAGGCCACGGGCATGATAGAGTCTTTAATGCCGAGCACCGCTGAGGACGCAGGTCATTAAAGAATTCAAAATAGTTATGTTTGGCACAATAATGTGTTGTTGTAGCACGAAAATATGGAGTAGTTGAGACTGCTGATCTCTTGTGACTTGTGCTTGAGAGCGGGCTGAGTGCTGCGTGGAGGGAAGGTGGCATTTGGTACCTCGCTGCCACCCCAACTCGCCAAATCTGCCGTTGCTTTGCTCATCTCTGAGGAGCCTTGGGTTAAGATGAACTGGGCTCCAGCCTCGGAGGAGGAACCTGTTTGCTCTCAGCTGCTCGCGCAGCGTAGGGGAGAGGTCTGAATTTTGGGGACGAAAGCGACCAAGCCCCAAACGACCAAGCCAGCATGTAGCCAGCGGCACCGCGCGACTCGGTACAGCCAAGGAAGCGACGCTGGAGGGGAAAGGTCTTTCATGGGGGAATTTCTCCCATGGCAACGGAGATGGACTTTAGATCAAGACAAAGAGAAATTAATATAAGATTAAAGTGAAGGAAAATGGGCAATTTGGACATGAATATTTTCTGCTTTTCAATACAAGTCTTATGGTTTAAAGGCTTTGCCCACAGAACAACCAGCCATGCCTGGGCACATTAAAATCTGTCCAAATTTCCCAAAGGCAAAAATCTCCAGCCACCTCCAGAGGTGAAATCCCTTGGTTCCTGCTTATAGCAGCATGACCTTACCCAACAAATACAAACTTGGCAATTCCCATGTTAGTATTTGCGCATGTTCATTTTTAACACAAGCCAAATGGTCTCCCTGAACTGAGCAGTTTGGTTTTTCGTATCTGGGATGTCTATCTAGAAATGCCCAAYTTGACCCAAATCATTTGCTAGGTGAAGCAAAACAGCATTTCCTCAAAGTTACTTGCATATTACATTTTCTGAAACTAAGCATTAAGCAGCATTGTAGGTACGGTATTCATTTTGATCAAGTGTTTTGAGTACTAAGATTTTGTTATTTCATTATTCCCAGAAAGCAGCAGCGTCCCCAGGCAGAGCCTAACGTTTAGCTGCAAGGTGCAGAGCAGTGAATTCCTCGTGTAACTCACGTCTGTACTGGCATCATTCGGGTGCTGCAACTCTCTTAACGCACTTGTGATAGTCTCAGGAGCTGGAGATCACAGGCAAATGTTTGTCACAGGTCTGGAACAAAAAAGTTCCAAGCACACTGCATTTGAGGTTAATAAGTAGAATTTGAGGCCATTTTAGCTGCAAGGCRATCTTTTAAGATATGTAATCTTAAAGCCAGAAAGCAGCATAAAGCTCCCCTCAACTACGCACTGCTCCTAGGGGCCAGCATTTTAGCTCTTCAGCAGAGCYGTTTGGTGAGGCAGAGCCTTGGCGCGTCCCAGCACCAGCCCCGCTGGAAGTGCCACGGGATGAGCAGGTGGAGCAACACTTGGCAGCAGCGCTGCCCACCACAGGAACATCAGTCACGAGGCAGCTGCGACTTCTCACCCCAAACTACGGGAGAAGCTGCAAAACAAAAAAGACAGCCAAAGACCTTGGCTGAAGGGTTTACTGGCAGGGACAGGGCTTCAGAATCACAGAAGGGTTGAGGTTGGAAGGGACCTCTAGAGATCATCTAGTCCAACCCCCCTGCTCCAGCAGGGACTCCCAGAGCACGCATCCAGGTGGGTTTGAAGATCTCCAGGGAAGGAGCCTCCACAGCCTCCCTGGGCAGCCTGTGCCAGGGCTCTGCCACCCTCACACTAAAGCTGTTCTACCCCACATGGAGATGGAACTGCCTGGGTTTCAACTTACACCCATTGCCCCTTGCCCTGTCACTGGCCACCACTGAGAAGAGCTTGGCCCCTTCCTCCCTACATTCCCCCTTCATGTGCTTATACATATTAATCAGATGCCCTCTCATCCTTCTCTTCTCCAGAGAATACAGGCCCAACTCAGTCTCTCCTCGTACAAGAGATGCTCCATTCCCTTAATCATCTTAATCATTTTTGTTGCCTATTTTCAGGGCTGCCCTCCTTGATTCTGCACAGCACAGAGGCTGTCGCCTCCGGTCTAMCCCCTCACCTGAAGGGGCAGGTGCAGAGGCCAGCCTCTCTTTCCACCCCCTTCTCCCAGGTGCTGCAAGGACAGAAACCTTCGGCCGCTCTCCGTGCCGGCACTCGCGGCTTCCCGCAAGCAGGAGCGGAGCCAGAGGTGGCAGCAGCCACTCCCTGGCCTGCTCCTTCCCTCCTGTTAGGGATCCGAAAACCCCACGTGAGGGCTACACTCCCACAGGTTTCCCATCTTTTCCCGCTAAAATGGCACCAACAGGGTCTACAGCCCATGCGTGAGGAATTCAACATCATCCCATAGCACTGAACGCACTGGCTCCTCTTCTGACTGCTGCAGAATTATTTACCCCCAGCACTATGACTGACCAGCAGCGACTTCTATAGACTATCAGAGCTAARACAAGAAATAAGTTGGGGGAGAAGCAGCACAGTGTAAAAATGCTGATTTTGTACAAAAGCTACAAAGTCGTTCTCCAGACTCCCTAAAGCTTTTGTTCTGGGCCAGGACGTTTTTCAATTTAAGTTGCCTTAGGGGATACACAGTTCCTCATGTTTAGAAACTGAAYACTGAAGGCTCAATACTGCAACTCAAAAACCACTCTGGACAAGACTGAATCATACAAAGATATGTACCTGCAAACCAAATGGCTGTTGGTTAAATGTTAACAAACACTTCCTAAAATACTAATATAAATTGAATGCAGCAACATTGTGACTCGATACCCTGTCAAATCTTACAACTATGTAAAAAGAAAAAAAAAAACAAAAGTTTTGAGTGAGAAACCAACAGTTTAGGTGGAAAGGACTGATTTACATGGGAACTGAGAAACTCTTTCACTTTGCAAAAACGAACAGCCTGGAAAAAAAACACAAAAGCAGAGCGCTGTAAACCCCACCATGGGCTACTGAGGTGCCGCAATATTTCATAAAATTAAACCACRTAGGCTGCTCTTAATTCATGTTTGGGAGGAGCAGCAGACACAGGCAAACTCAGCACTCCAAGCTTCCAGCGCGGGATGAGGGAGCTGCGGAGACTTCAAGGGGGGCCAGACCGGTTGCCATGGGAAGTGTGATTATAGAGGGCTCAATAAATTCTCCCAGCGCTGATATTTTCCATTTGCACATAAAAAACATGCAAAAAGGAGAAAAAAAAGAGGGGAAAAAGTGTAGAAATTACATCTCCTATACACTCCTGTTCCTCCCTAAACATAAATTAATTATTCATAGCTTTCTCAGGTATATGGGAATTAATAAAGTCCCCCTGACTTAAGGGCATAAAACCTACCAGTGAAGGCGTGCACGTAAAACATCCCTTATTATGGAACCATGTCACATTCTTTCTATTTGATGGCACTTATTGGGCCGCAGATTCCATAATCCTTCCCCGAGCCCCTTCTGCATTTAATTCAGTCGAGCCTTAAGTAGTTAAAGAAACTGTTTTCAGTGGCAACTAATAACTACTGACCTACAGCGACACTGCCCTACAATAGGCTTGTCAGGTCTGAAAAAGTTGCACCAAAGAAGCTGATTAGGACTTCAAGAGGTTTGTAGCAAGAATCAATGGCCGGTCTGTGCTAATGCTGCGGTCGCGGCGCAGAAATGATAAAAGTGGAACACCATTAGTTATGCCTCATTAAGCTCCACAACCCTCCTAAAAAGAAATTTGTTTAGCCTGTCCAACATCTAATGCAGTTTTAAGCTCTCTGTGTCCAATTTCACGGTATCTCAAAAGCTTCAATAAGATGAGGGCCAAAGAACCAAGAACAGTACCAAAGCGCCAACAGTAAAGTTAATTTTGAAGTCTGAGTTTTAATGGGGAGTGTTTTTGCTGCGGCTTTTTTTAATACAGAGTAAGGGAAACTTTTAAGAGACGAACCCTGCACAGTGTACACACAAAATAGAATAGGGCCTTACCTTCGAAAAAACTGCTGTACAGCGTAACTTTGATAAACAGCAAAATCCAAAGCAAGGATTAAAAAGCCCCAGGAACCTCCCCAGAACCAGGCACATCTGCCCCATGTTTTTCAAGACCTGAATCCCACAGCCTTACCTTTGGGGCGACTGCGGAAACAGCGGYGTCGGACCTCGCCATGAATCTTGGGGCCTAAGATCTAGGGAGTAAAGCAAAAAAGTTTAGTAGCAAAAGAAAGAGTATTATAGACATGGCTTCTACTTTTTGCATCTCATCATTGATTTTTCAACATGCCACAAAGCCTGTTTTAARAAGGCAGGCAGAACAGAAAAGCCCAAATTGAATACGCTACCAAATACACTTAATCAAATCTTATTTGGTCAATATTGGTGAGCTAATATTTTGGCAGAGTCTGTTTGCATCAGACACTGCCAAGTTCAATACTGACGAAAGGCAACATTTGCTTGCATCTTTTTTTTTTTTTTTTTTTTTTCTTTCTCCTTTTCTTTTAGTATATACCACAAATTTCAAGCTATAAAGAGAACGTTTTAATTGCTGGAGCTACCCCACCAGTCAATGTTTCAACACTTCACAGGTATCAAGTGTTCTCTGCAATTCTTAGCAATGCAAAGAGATGACAGCAGCTGTAAGAACTGAAGACTTCATTAATTTCATACTTATCCTACAAACTTTGGGTTTTTTTTTTTTTTTGAGTAGAAACTTGGCAAAGACAGCCCTGCTGTTACAGCAAGCGGCCCAGGAAAGGACCACCCACTTCTCAATTGTTTCCTCTACCCAAACTAACCCCGTACAAAGCCAGAGCAGTAACAAGGTTGCTTTAAGGGGGAGCTGCAATTAAATGCTTGTTGTCCTTCTAAATAAACTGGTGGGTAAACAGGATGAAAGAAAAGCTTATCAATAGCTCCCAGGCAGCTCTCGGCACGGATTGTGCATCCCTCAAAAGCTGCAGCCTCAGCAACACCTTTGATTAGCTTCAATGGCGCTGAAGTGGGACCTCATTTTAACAGCTGGTTCCAGCAGTTGCCTAATGGGCACCGCGTGACAGGAGGGGAAGATCCAGGGAAACTGGGGATATTCACCAGGCTAAAGCTCTCCCGAATTTGAAAGGAATAAGTGGACAAGCCTCCCTACTCATCTTGCAGTAGGATCCCTCAAACCTGCTGCTGTGACCGCTGCTCACTATCAACTGCGATGGGTTATTTCGTATATGTTGGACATGCAACTGCTCTAAAACATCACAGAGAAGATGGCAGAGCAGATGTTTGCTCCAAATGCCCTGAGGACTCAGATACATAGCCCTTTTATACTGAGCAGCCTGTCAGAAGAGCAGGGATTTTGAAAAACATGAATGGCAGGTGCTGAAATGACTCTTGTGATGCCAGACTGGAATATAAAACTAAGGCAATATAGGTAAGCCTGGGTGCGTAACCCCAGCTTCAACTCCTTGGGAGCAACAAAATACTAAAGAGTCTTAAACTCATGCCTTAAAAGGCACCAGGAAGACAAAGCTGCTGAAAATAATGATTTATTGTTAATTCTGCAACAGTTTTCACAGACATGAGACGGACTGTTCTAAAGCTAGAGCATCTTTTGTGCACATTCCCGTGTCTCATCAGCAGGAAAAGCACCAGGGACCCCCCTACAAGAGCACTCAGTTTTCCTTCTGCTTGCAAAAGCCACCCCCTATATTGCACCTCTCCCTCCTGCCTTTCAGCCACAGCTCCAAACTTTAATCAATTTTTTTTTAGCCTTATTTTTTCTGCTCCCGAGCTAGGATCAACTGAGGACTGCACGAGAAACCCCTGCCCAGCAGGGCTCCTGTTCMCGTAGCACATGGATCCCTAAATAAGGGCTAGCCAAAAACCCTCAGTCCTTTCTTTCCACCTGATGCCCTGAGAGGCCAACTACCCCCTGCTGTTACTGCGTCTKGTGGCAGCTCTAGGGAGTAGCTTAAGAAAAACATTAATGAAACAATTTAAACAACAACCACCACCACCCACATATTTAAAAGCCGTCTTGTTACTGCATATTTTTATGGCTGACAACAGTTTTGGAGGGGGAAAAAGCTCAGAGCAGTGAACTGTACTTCAAAAAGGCACAGAATTGGAGGAAAAAAAAGGCAATTAATATTTCCCTTAGTCTTTAAAACTTAGGCATTTCCTAGAGCTATAAGGCTAAATAAACTGCCTTCTCTAGCAGCTCCTCAAGTAACAATTTATCTAATCAGCAGGGCAATCAAAGACGAGATTTTGTGTTTACTGATTGCACTAATCAAAATCACTTTTCAAATGCAGCTAATTGACAAGTTTACCGACTGAAAGTCATAAATCAGATAGCCTGGATTGCAGGCACCAAATGTGCCATTCAGGGAGTGCGGCCACCCTGCACTTGACTCCCCAAGTTATCAGCACAGACAATTATTCATCAGCTGAAAATTGGCACATCCAAGTCAAATCAGAGACGAGCAGCAAGCGACACCCCCGGCAGCCTCTCGAAGAGGAGACAGCACTTTGGCTGCCCGCATTGCCCTTCTAGAGGCCAATTTTACTTCATCATATATATAAAAACATAATGCATACCAAGTTGCCTTTAACAAYTCCATACAACATGAAAATCTTCAATCTTATTGTCCCTCGTTTTTCCGGGTCTGCCGAGTTACACAACATGGAGTGAACGTGTGTTTTCAGGAAGCTCCCGATCTCATTATTCCCTAATAAACTGTTCTCTATACGTCCTACCTTCTACTCCCACATCACTACATAGCTGCTCGAACGTGATGCTGATAGAAGGCAGAGCTTGCCCCCATAAAAATCTGCCTGTGTTATCCCATTTCTTCCAATTTGACTTTTTAGTTGATATTTTCTAGWTGACACCTGAGCTTTGGCAGAGCTGTTTGTACTTGAAAATCAGAGAGGAAGCTGCAAAAGACAGAAAGGCAACAGTGCTGTCAGATCCAGGAATACCAGAAGAACAGGCTGCCCAGGGAGGTTGTGGAATCTCCTTCTCTGGATATCTTCAAAACCCACCTGGATTCTCAAAACCCACCTTAACCATTCTTAACCATTCTATGAAGACGCTCTGTGGGCAAAATTGGTGCTAAGGAGAAATAACAGGCAAGTGCTAAATTGACATTTCCATCAGAGCAGAAGAGCAGTCCCTACGAGCTGCCCTCCTCCACCTTGGGAGGAAGGCTCAGAGAGAGTAGCTGAAGCACTTGCACCTCAGCAGCTTTGCTTGACACCATCTCACAGAATCACAGAAGGGTTGAGATTGGAAGRGACCTCTAGAGATCATCTAGTCCAACCCCCCTGCTCCAGCAGGGACAGCTAGAGCACAGGGCACCTGGTCGCATCCAAGCAGATTTTGAAGATCTCCAGAGAAGGAGACTCCACAGTCTCCCTGGGCAGCCTGTGCCAGGGCTCTGCCACCCTCACACTAAAGAAGTTCTTCCTCACATGCAGATATGTTTCAACKTACACCAATTGCCCCTTGCCCTATCACTGGCCACCACTGAGAAGAGCTTGGCCCCTTCCTCCCTACATTCACCCTTCAGGTACTTGCACATATCAATCAGATGCCCTCTCAGCCTTCTCCAGAGAAAACAGGCTCAACTCACTCAGTCTCTCCTCATAYGAGAGATGTTCCATTCTCTTAATCATCTTTGTCGCTCTCTGCTGGACCCCCTCTACAAGTCTCACGTCCCCCTTATACTGGGGAGCCCAGAACATCTCCACACAACCCAGTGTGCACCATGTGCTCGGGTGCCTGGAGGTGGCTTCATCTGCAAAGAAATCCTTTGCTGCAGCTGCCAGGAAGACTGATCTTGGCAGAAGTTTTGGGCTGTGTCATTTCTACATCACTTCTCGTTTAAACAGGTCTTACGTAGGTAGTAAAACAAGATTTAAGATTTAGCATTGTCCATTGGCATCAAGAGTCCCGAGAGGCCTGAGCGGGGTACCAGCCTCCCAATTGGACAGCACGAGGCATTTCTGGAACCCCTTCCTGACAGCAAACAGGTCTTCGATATCATTCAACCTTCGCTCACCCCACTGACTGATCTCGCACGTGGTTAGAGAAAATATCACCTMAAAATGGCAATGAAAGACAGATGACACCCAACTACGCAGTCAACCACCACTGCAACTAGTCATCTGCAAAGACCTCGCATGCAAGCAGTTTAAATTGGCAGTTAATTGCAGTTTGAGCCTGATCTCCCAGGACAGCTTGGTACCCCTAGCAGAGCTGAAGGGGATGAACAGAATTAGGTGACAAAACCTCCATTTTCAGGGTGCTGTACTCCTGGCCCCGATTCCAAGTTCTCCCATTAAAGCAGAGAGGAACCAGGAACCAGATTAACCCACTGCCAAGCGATGAGCCCCAGGGAGCAAGAGCATCCCTGGAAGCTCTGCTGTGTGGGAAAGGTCTTTGTGCAAAGACTGCGGGCAGCACGACAGGCAATGGCCACAAAGGGAGCTGGAAGCACCAGCAGGCTGACCTGGCATCTCTCTTTTACTGCATGAACAGGAAAGCAAGAACTCAGCCATCACCGAGTAGGGGGAAAAGAAGCACCATTAAGGAGGAGCAGAAAAAAGCCCTTGCTCTCCTGAGCAGCCCTGCTTTTAGATCTGTCAGGAACACCTGCAGAGCAGCAACTGGCAGGGCCGGAGAAACCCACAGGGTGAGGAGGGGCCAGGAGACGAGGGGAGAGAGGGATGCTTGGAAGAAAGTGCTGAGACAACTTCTGAGGCCACCAGATGGACTGGGATTTCGTATCGATCACGGATTCAAGCCTCCTCAATCTGAAAGAACGATGACATAGGGGCATATTTGCATTTGGAGTGTTTCCTATACAGCACAAGGTGCTCAGATGCCATGAGGATGAGAGCTTTTTAAGTACCTAATTGGCAACATCAGCTCCTCGTACACAAGGCTCAGAAAACTCCTTTGAAATGAGTATTCCCCACAAAGTGTCAAGACTCAAGTTTAGAAGTCATAAACAACAGCATAGGGCCATGCTTTTTTTCCCTGGAGATAAATACAAAAACAAAGCTTGTCTGGTAGTTCTGCCTTCCCCACACACTTCCTTTTAGATCGTAATTCTGTTTGCTTCAAAAAACCCACTTCTTTTAATCAAAGTTAATAGCTCCACACTCTTATATTCAAACTGTCTCTCCACTTAAACCTATCTGATTTCTTACACAGGAAGCTTCTTCACCCCCTGCTCGAGTACACTTCATTTACTTTGGAACTGGATAGCAAGTTTAATTTAGACTGGCCGTAGATCTTAATTATTTAGTTACTGACCCATGCGCAGGCAAGAAATGCAAGTCAAGCATAAGAAGTCTGACAGCTTCACTATGCAGCAATCTGCTCTCCTATATACGATGAACTGTTGGAGTTTATAAAACTTGGCTTCTCTCAGCTGTTTAGACTTCAAACACAAGCATAACATAACGCTGCAGTATTTCAGCTGGAAAATGAAACCCGCTTCCTTTAAAGCATCCCTTCGGCTGCAGCTTTCAGACAACCCAGCCAAGTTCTCTCCTGCTTCTGTCCCATCCAAAAAAGCAGCACTCGATCACAGGCAAAAAGACAGGACTCATTAACGGATGCCTTTTTTTTTTTTTTAGGGGGGAAAAAAAAAAAAGGTGCATTTCAAACGGACAGGGTTTTCTCTCCCCTCTTGCACTGCTGCTTGCCAAGGCAAATGAGCAAAGAGCAGGGCAGGCCAGGGCACTGCCGACCTCCCTGCTATGTAACTGAAGCTAGGGGTGCAAACCTCCAAAAAGGGACGGGGCAGTCTGAGTCAGGCAGTAGCTTCTCTCTGCAAGTCACCCCAGCTCTTCTGTCAAGTCCTGCCATCTTCCCCGAGTCATCACCTTGCCTTGTGCCTTAACTCTTGTCTGGGGGCAGCCTCCTCCTCTTCCTCCTCAGGCTCCACGTTCTCCTCGGACACAAAACACCAAACTTCTAGGAAATCTGCTGCTTCTGCTGGTGTTGAAATTCAGCCCAACTATGAAGATGTGCAGAATTATGTACAGTAGGAATCCTTTATGGGCAAGGTGATATTTTGCCTATCACATTTAAATATTGGGTTAAATAGTCAAAACAGGGCCCTACTTACAGGCATACAACTGCATTTTGGAGCAGGATTTTTTTTTATTATTATTACATTACAGTAATTTCAAAAAATAAAGGAAAAATAACACAAMAAAAACTTTGCTTCTAAAGAGATGGAAAAGCCCTGAAGTTCATAAGCAATTCCTGACTCTCTGAAGACCAGAACAACTCATGTGAATGAGCCATTTGGAGAAGACTATCCTATTCATTTCAAATTGTGACTTATTATTTCGTTTAAGYAAAATAATTCTGTGAATTAACACAAGTGACACCTTTTCCTTAACTTCCATAAATGTCTCAAATTTTTGACAATTTCTCCTTCATCATAACATGAACCAGCTGAGCTCTGAAGAGCATGGCCAGTCAAGTATCTCAATAACAAAGTCAAATTGTCATTAATGTCTTTTAAAGAGAGGCTGGTCCTTAGAGCTCTTGAGCGGTGGGCATGGACTGTGTTTCATTCCAGCAATTCTAAAAAAAGCCAGTGTTAATGCCAATACTAGAGGGGAATWAWAAAAAAAAAGATTTTCTTCTTCAAAAAGCATCAGGTTTGTACATACATGGTCAGGGTGAAGGTACGAGATGAGGATTACTTTCTGACAGCATCAACAGTGACAAATACCAACACAATACGAGCCCCCCTGTGCGCATACCATGAATTAAAAGTGAGTTTAAAATTCAGGGCCTCAAGGCACAACGGTTCAAAATGATTTAAAATATCTCAATACAATCATCTGAAATGTATGAAGCGTATGAAAAAGCTACAGCCTGAACTTCCATCATTGACAGAAAAGAATCAAATTGGCCAAAACACTTCAGCTGCGGGATGGCGACGGACTCCTGAATCCACTTGCTAGTGGCAAAGAAACCTCACAAGTTAACAAGTAAGCTTTAAAATTGTTTGGGACTACAACACCAGATTCTTCCAATGRGGAGGGAGTGCAATATACTGCTTGATCTGCAATAATACCAGTCTTCCTTCTCTCTTGTTTTCACAGGGCCTTGGCAGATAGCTCTGCTTAGAGTATTTTCCATGCTTAAACACAGCTACTAAACCCTACTGTACAGCGTGGAACTCAGATGTCTCTTTAAAAAGGCAAATGCTGCAGGACGGGCAGCACTGTGTCCTTGGCCCCATCGGCATCACAGCCCATCAAACCTCCCTCCAACAACAGCAGTTGCCACTCAACACTGACAGCACGCAAGCCCGAGCATTTCCAAGTAGCTCAGTGCCCTTTTTTAAAATGCACCTTACGCTCCTGCAGCAGCAGGATTTGGGCTGGAGTTTAGGGAAGGCAGGTGCAGTATTTAACACAAGTCTCCTAAGCGGTAACCTGTAACAGAAAAGTAACCGAAATCCTGTTAGACCAACAGCACAAAGGATGCATTTACACCCCAAAATTCTCTACTGTTTCAGCATATTCAYGTAGCAAACGTGAAAACGGACTAAAATAAAATTGTAAAACTGTTCAACTTGGCCACGTAGAAAGACAGACAGACCTACTTACTTGACAACAATTTAGGAATCTGCTGCTGCCCGCTCAGAAGTGGCCTGTTGTAGGGGTTCCCATAAGCTGCAAGCGGTACCGCGTTGGCATACATTCCTGGCATCCCTCTTTCCCTTGGTATTGAATGGCTGTTATGGGTAAGAAGTGGAAAGAAGAAGAAAAGAGGATGTTTTCAGAAATGCCATCTTCTAAACCAGCTGCTACCCCGGTCRTGGTATGTTGCAGCTCTCCCAGCGCATCCGTGGGGAGGGGCACAAACACAAGGCAGGGACTCAAACACTGACAAGAGTCCTATGCACACAGCAAAGGAGGCACGTGCTTTGTGAGCTGCTCCAGGGAAAATTCTATTTTTTTCTTCTTTTATATCTTCTTTATGGAAGATTTCTATAGTGAGTCAGCAGAAAAACACATTTCCTGTGAACAGCCTAAGAATCTGAGAAAACCGAATTGCTGCCACATTTCCCAGTGAGGTGAATCTGTGCCTTTATTTTATGATATTTGTGCCTTCTTGTTCATCAGGCCTTCCTTACCTGTCCTGCACTAAACCATATTTACATTAAGACTTCAATGCTCACAGTGTTTGCCACTCCAGACTTTCTTATCCTGAAACAACGCATTTAATGGGACATCATGGCATCACTAACCCTGCAATTCTTTTTTGCAGCTGTGAGATGGAAGAACAGAAGGTGATTCTCTTGAGCTGCAGCATTAAAAAGAAACTTTTAATTCTTTTTTTTTTTTTTTTTAAGAAAATTTCTCTTCCTAAAGAGAATCACATTCAGCTACTTATACAATTTACTTTTATTCAACAGTACTACTGTCTCCTTTGAAACAGCCTCTAGTTTGGCACTGACAGACATACGGCTCCCAGCCTTTCCCAGCAAGAAAAAAAAATCCATTTATCCATAATTTTCCTAATACATAACCCAAGCTCATTCTCTAATCTTGCACCCTGAAGCATTCTTGTACGGCACTAGAGAACTTGAGAAATTTATTTGTATTTGGAAAATAAGTAAGAAACTGGCTTCAACAATACCTTGAACAAAGACCATCAACTGGATTATTATGAAGCAGCACATGAGCTTTGAACAAAGGTAATAAGACAGAGCATTTTTTAAAAGCATGGAAGACTTTCCTGTCCTCCTAGCTGTCTTAAGTATCACTTGTGTATAATATCCTCATTGTATCTTCTGTACTTCAAGCAAGGATCCATCAGACAAGTCAAAAAGACAACAAGAAAATCAATAAGAAATATTCAGGAAAAAAAAYAAAGCAAGGTGTGACTATAACATTCTCTTATCTCAGGATACTATCATACGTGATTTGAATCAGAACTGAATTTAACTACTATGTGCCAAAGTTTCCAACATATGACACCAGGATCTCATCTCYGGCAGCATTTCTCCCTTTCCTCCCTTATTTCTTAAGCCATGAAGGAAATATGGACATCTCAGTGCAGCCACTGGCACTGCTGCCAGTTTTACTCACCCTAAGGTTCTAAACGCCGACTGGTCCAGATGTACCGGCTTCCTGTCGCGATTAAAACCAAGCTGTGGTCTCCACGGCCGACCATCATTGTTAGTTTTTTCCCAGTCTCCTGGCTTAAGGACTGGGGGAGGTTTCCTGAATATGAGAAGAAGTTCCATAAATACCCATCTGAGAAGGCAGCCAGTCTAATAAAAACCAAATTAATTATGTGAAAATTGACAGTTGACACTTACTTGGCACCAGGTAGCACTGTCGCCTTGAAAACAAAGTTTTCATCAAATTGTGGATCTTTGAAAGAGATACTAGAAGAAAATACCCAAGGATTAGGTTTACTTCATAATTAAGAAGAGTCCAACACATAACCAACAGCTGCTCTCTCAACAGAGTGATGTGGGGAGAACATGCAGCAGGCTGAAAACTCGACTCCAGTGAAGGGACATCCACCTCTTTCCAGGGCCATTGGACAAACTCTGCATTCTGAGTGGTCAAAAGCAACTGGACACACTGTTCTGGCAAACCTGGCCCAGGACAAATGTCACCAGAACTGGTATTAGAGCAAAAAGAGGAAGAAAGCTTCATTTTTGTAGGTATAGCTAATTATACACCTTGCTTTAGGCAAATTCATCCACACACACAGCAATTCCTACCTCCTGGTAGGTATCCACATCTCAGACAGCTGCCACCATGGACAGCTCAGAAGTACCAGCACCAGCTGTCCTCCCCTGACTATCTACCCTTTGCTATAGAATAATTGGGATGCCAAGAAAGATAAAAGCAAGCAACTTATCAGAACCCTCTTCTAGATGAAATACATCTGTTTTTCAGAGATGAATTAGACTAGAAGAGAATAGTGAGATCTGGGGTTAATTTTCCAAGAAACCAAGAGCTGAAGAGCAGAACCATGATTGCTCCTACCATCTCAAGAGACAGCAATGAAAGTCTTTGCTGTAGAAACGGGCAGAACCAATTCAAACTTCAAGCAGAAGACAACGCAAAACTATCTTTGTCAAAGTAAGTTAGCAGTCATTTCAGAATATCTTTTTAATAAAACCCTGACAAGACACAACTTAGCATTTCCTATTGCCTATAAACTAGTTGTACCAGTTGACCCAAGTTATGCCTTCTTTGAAGAAAAATACATATGCAGACAGACTACAAGTGATAGCCAGTGTCTCAAGTATTTTAAATGACTCAAAAAAAAAATTAAAGGTTATAGGGACAAGCATTATATACCCATTGCACTGTGTTAAACYTGGTGAGAATGACACAACATACAAGATCTACAGAAATTTGCTGTCAAGTGCATGACTAACTCAATTCTTTTGTGACCATAGGCTTTATCCTTGGAAACTCATCATTGTTCTTTATTATGTGGTTTCACATCACTCTGCCAAACAGCATATTTAGGCTAAGTCAGTATTACTCCTACATATGCTGCAATAAAAAGGAAGACAAGAAAAAAAAAAAACAAACAAACTTCATTCCTGCTTGGACTAGCTGTTTCTCCTCCTTAAAGCCACCTTTTTGCACAGAAGTCACACAGCCTAGTAGATCTGAGCAGATCCTTGAAGGGACCATCAGGTACCACCAGCTCACACCATTKCCTTGTACTAGAATGAGGGAAAACAACTAACACTCAAAACGGCTGAGCCAGGAGGATTCATAACGAGGAGACCAACGTGCAGACAGAAAATAACCTCATTTTGCTGGGACAAATCTTCTGTTAAGTTGCAGCTCTAGGACAGGGAATAGAGCAACGATTAAAGTAAAAGAGAGTAATGGCCAAGGAGGCATCTACTTTCATTACTAAATCCAGAGAGAGAGTTTGCTTGCAGAATGCAGGTGAGTATTTCCATACAGTATCTTTTGCCCTCTAGTAGGAAAGGTCTTTTATGGCTTGAGAGGAAGCTCTTTGGTTGCAACATATTTGCCAGGTGACACTTACAGGGCAGAGAACCTAGGAGGTTAAGTCCCTTCATCCTTGCATCTTGTTAAAGAAGTGAAGCTTATGTTGCCAGGTATCCTCCAGGAGATGCAAGAAAGTGGAAAGGACGAAGATCCAACAACTAAAAACCCAAGGGCCAGAGGGCTTTCAATCAGTTCTGTCTCAGAAGTTTAATTTATTTTAAATTTGAAAGGCGTAATGCAGAATATGAAATTCTACAGGTATTATTCTTTGTTTGCCAAAGGCCCAGGGTTAACAACAGGGAGTAAGTGAAAAAGAAACAGCAGGAAATGTGCATTTTTCCTGACGGCATTAATCAGAGTTTAATACACTCAGAAATAACCATTTCCAACATGCCTCCTGTAAGATACACAACTACATATTCTGCTTAACTGTGTGAACCCAAGCCAACTGTGCTACAACATAACATTTTGGCTTTAGTTTTGCAGAGAAACAGAAACATATGAAGAAAACGTTGCGTTTTAATAATAGATGGACAGCTGTGTTCTGCAGCAAAATCAGTACCTCAGGACACCAGACTAAGCGGGATTTGATTCGGATTGGAATATTTTGCCAYTGCATTCTAAAGGCAGTTTGCTTACCTGACTGCAGAATTTTGTGTGAGATCACGTAACATTGGAACGGGAGACTCCACTACCCTAGAAAAAAGGAGAAACTCTGTCAAAGTGTAATGCATTTCTCATCATCGGATCCACTTGCTCTGTCACTGTTACTCATGTTTYCATGTCAGTTAAACCTAAGACAAAGTAAAGGAGTTTTAAAATGATCTCCTCTTTTCCTCAAATGAAATAGTCCTGCAAGCAGTGAAGTTACTGACTGATTTGTTATTGATTTTACCTTCCCATGTGATCTGTTTGTGCCTTTGGTGGTACCCAAGAGTAGTTCACATGTTTCCCATCACCCACCTGCCTGTCTACAAAAACTGCAACTATTTTCTATCTCAAATTTTTTGCTTAAATCAAAAACAAATAAAAAGCCCACATATTTAGCAGAGGTGTCTGTATAGCGCTTAAGAGCTTCCTTTCTGAATGAAACTTAACAGGCTGATATGCAGTTTTCTTGTGCCTTTCCTCTCTCCTCTGCAAGAAACCACATCCCTTCAGCTCTGGTAGACTAACAACAGGCTGCAGAGTTATCCTCACTCATGAGCAATGACAGTCCTTGGCTCATGCCACAACTCACATAAACCCACAGGCAGAGATCATTAACTCTGCGCTTGCTGGCCGAATCGGATCCAAATTGGTCTGGCAAAATGAGTCACACTTGGAAGGAGCAATGTAAATGCTTGTTCATCTCCAGAGAATTCTTAGCAAGCGATTCCTCTCTATATGAAAGTATATCCCATTCCTCGTGCCCTTTTTAGGGCAYGTAACACAGATAATAACTTGCCAACAGCTCAGGTAGATACTCGCTCATAGAAACACAAGGATAAGGACAAATTCAACAAGAGGCTTGTCAATGCTCTAAGCCCCCAAAGTTTTCTGTTCAAATGTTCAAAAACTTCTTCATGCTGCATTACTCTTTCCTCCGACAGCAGCTCGGACTTGCTCGTACCCTTTACGAGCTGTGACAAGACTACAGGAGCAAATATTGCTAAGTGACTTACAGTATATTATCTGTCCAACAAAACCAGAGGGTTTGTGTGTTTAACACACATGAATTGATGAATGAATAAAAGAATTACTGAACACTTTCCTCTCCCTTCCCTCCCCCCCCAAATTAACATTTTTGTACACATATTTGGAAAGATATATTTCTGAATTTAGTGTTACAGCCTAAATGGAAAGCAATGAAGAATCTAATCTGTATTTATCTTAAATGGAACCAACGTTAGCTTATACCAAGCAGACAGTAAATTTTAACAGGCTATTGGAAGCTACATCAAACTGGGTTAAACCAACGTTCATACAAATGCAGAGATCAAAACCACAAGACACCAGCAAAAAAAGTCACTGTTACTAATGCTTTTTGTATAGAGTCCCTGCTTACCTACTGAAGCTTATCAAATATTACCAAACACAGTCTTTCACTGATAAAAATGATAAACTCCAAAAAAACCTGACTCATCAGCAATTAAGTGCACTTATTAGCACAACTTACTTTGAATCCCAATGAAAAAAAAACCATGTTTAGCAAAGCATCTTTGCTCAGATATGGACATGAATGAAGGAATTTTTCCTTAGTATCAAAGGACCCAAACTGAAGGCCATACTTACTGATCTGGAAGAACTGCATTTTCATTGAGTGTCAGTTTTCCCTGGATTCCATGGCACAGTTCTGGTGGTATATCCACTGGCTATGGAAAAAATAAATTTTCAGCATCCAAGGGCATTACCACACCACCACCTTTATCAGTCAGAACCCCTCAAGAAAAAGTATAACCTACCTCTTCATTTTTGGACGTGTACTGTTCCACAATAAAATCACAAAGTGGATGATGCTTCCCAACAAAGAGAACATCACCACCAAGGCTATTTCTTCTGTCTAGAAAAGATGAAGAGAATGGGATAGGACTTGAGGTGCATTTGAGTGTTACGGTGGTAGACAAGATGCACAAGATGTGAGCACAGGTCAAGACAAATAAGGTGAACGAGATGGCTCACAAATGATGACTTTCAGATGAGAGATAAAGGCCAACCCTTCTTGACCAAGTTTTAAGTAAATTTTCTCAAGTCGGGATAAAATCCCAACATTTCAAATTATGGTATGATCAAGCAAATAAAGATTTGAGAATAGATTCAAAAAAAAAAAAAAGTCCTCATTTCCATCCCAAAATCTTCAAGTAACACTGCATTTGATCCTCCTGTTCTGTGGCACTGCACCTTGTCCCATGTCCCTTAACACCTGCTTTCACCTCACTTCTCCTCCTCYCACTGGGGCTACAGCCCACTATTAGATGGTCCCACATGGATACTCGAGTTGCATCAAAACCAGACCAATAGCTGCAGCTTTTGACTGGCTCCTCTTCTTCTCCCCAACCCCTCTAACATGCTGAAGAYCCAGTCAGTTGAAAAAAAATCTCCCAGGATAGCTGAGCTACAGGAACCAGCCCATCACTTTGCACAAAACRGAAAGGAACATATGAATTTACCTATGGAAGCTTACTGGCAAACTTCCTGTACCATAAGCTGGCCCTCGCTCTCTGCTGTCAGGGAGCGGGTGCCTGTTCATGTAGGGTATAACAGTACATGAAGCAGAGCAGTGAAAGCAGTGAATGTACTGTCACTCAGACATATCACAGTTCTTACTTTCTTCAGGAGTGAGGTCAGGATAGACTTCTTCCAGGGCAGCTCTAAGACGTCGCTCATCAACAAACGGCAGCAAAGCAACACCTATCAAAACCAAACAGTTACTTTTCACACTTGACATTACAGATTGTCTGAGGTGTAATCATCTCACGGCACAAATTCCTCCCCCCCACACAAAAAAAGCTCCAAAAAAACACTCCCAAGTCAAAATACACAGCAATAACAGGGGAGTAAATGAGCTACAGCATCCTTACTCTCACTGAGAGGAGAGAGGAACAGGGCAAAGGAACGCTGGCGTGAGAGTCAAAAGAGATTTTTTTTGGATGATTTATAACATGCAACAGTTGGTAAAATAGGGGGTGCAAACAATATTACACCATATAAGCAGCCACAGTGTCCTCAAATACTGGCTGCCAAAAGCCAAATACCATGTCAACAGTTCTCAAAAGCAACCTGGACCTGTAAAAATTAGACCCTTGAAATTGCMCAAACATCTCAATTTAATAACAGGTATTGTACAGCTCAGGTCCATGTGCGCCAAAAAAACCTCTAATAAACTCCTTTTCCACAGAAACAACCTTGGAACCAGTCACAGAAAAGACGTTTTCAAAACGTGTCAGCTCACAGTCTGGGGGGTCAGTTCCACAGCAGTGCAGGTCAAAAGTGGTKTTTGTCCTTGGATCTCCCACCCCTCCTCTTCCTCCCTCGTCTCCTTCCCCCCCGCCACAGTTCTGGATAGACACTCAAGACACAGTAACCACCACCACAGCTGCCTTCACGAACAAGGAGAGATCAGGAAGATGCTCATTATTCATCCCATTTGCTAAAGACATCATCTTGGTAGAACTCAATGCTACTTCATTCAAATTAATAAATTAAAAGATAACAAATTAAAAGATAACCATGGAAGAAATCACTACACCTGGATTCAGCAACAAGGCGATACAGACACTATCCATGAGCCACTATTCATATTAGCTATTAATTTTACTCCACGGAGGAGGTTCTCGGTATCAAAATCCCTTGCCGAGCGCTTAATGGCATTTGTGTGTGCTCATCGCTTGTCATACTGGATAAAACTGCACAATAACACCTTCCCCAGTGCACTCTAGTACTTGCTTCCTTTTATTATCAACATCTCCAAAGCACCAAGAAATTAATTTTGATTCTTTTTTCCTAAGATAAAACATCATGTCAATTATGTGTCAAAATCTGCAGTCACTGGATTAGTTTTATTTGATTTCTCTTACCATGAATCTTGGAGCAATAAAGGCTTTTTACTAGCCGGTATTCAGAGCTGCACCTGTACCAGTTTGATCAGCAGGCAGATCTCAGYCACTAATGTCATTAAATTCTAAGCTAGAGCATTCACAGAGACTTCGACCTTCTACAGACATTCCCTGTCTACAACTTGGTCTTCATCAAACACTGTTGTTTCCTGAACTAAAGCTTCACTTGGCTTTATTAAAACAAATCTCTTCTTGTCTTGAGCCTGAGAAAAGGGCAAAGGGAACAACCCAAAACCTTATCTTTCCATGTAACTGTCTCTTAATAAAGACAGTGAGGAACAAACCATGATTAAAATGCTAAATATTTCAGAAGTTTAGTTGAATCAAAAAATCATTTGGTCTGTGTAAAAGATATAYAGGTGCATCAGCTCCTTCTAAATGAAGACAATCACTATCCCACATTGAAACATATCTTTTGTCTTGCAACTGCCTCTTAAACATCAACTAGTTTATAGTGATTCTTTTAATGCTAAATTGCAAAGTAAAGACTCCAAAAGTTAGGCTACAGAATGCTGAAGTCATCTGGAAGCCACTTCAAACATTACTGCTTTAGACTGTGAACTCAACGTTCAGGCAAAAGGAGTAGGACTAGGAAGCATTGCAAAAGTTACCGCAGATGGATAAAATGGCTTAAAAAAAAAAAGAAAAAAGAAAGCCTTGAAGTGAAACGTGTTATACAACATGACCCATAATATTTAGATCCATTCTCTTCAAGTTTACTTTTTTTTTTTTGAAATAGGACGTATGCAACCTTTAGTTGGTACCTGTCTGGCAAGAATCCAGAGCAAACATTTAATTTTACAACAGGATCAAATGCTGCTTCAGCAATTGTCCCTAACCTTCTGTTAACACTGGCCCTAAAGAATGTAAAGGGGGGAGATGAAGGAGCACAATACCTGGATTCAGAGACAACCACATACAAGTACTTCTGAGAACCCCTTCAGCATAGGACGATCAGAACTTATTYACACAGAATACAACCCAAAATAAGAATTTTCTAATATTAGTCATGTAGACATGAATGTGTTCTTCCATGGGAACGTGCAGAGCCCTGCCTCCATGCTCCCCAGTCTGTAACAGAACTTTTCCCCTAGTGGGAAATATTCTCAGGGCTTTCAAAACACCAGTCACTAGTTCTTGTCTGAAGAGGCTTCAGACAGGTCCCATTCCCTAAAGAGAGCTTTTCCAACACAGCTAACATCCGGAGTTTGGACTACATCTTCTCTGACCTATTAGCTGCCTTCCTGAGATCAGTGACTTGAGGGCAACAGTTCCCTTCTAGTGTTTGCCTCTGCACATCTCCAGTATCCATCTSCGTTAAGTACAACTCTCCACATCTTCCTCTTCTCTCTTGCAGCAACAAATTCATCTACTCTCAAGATTTATTACACTGGCAATACAAAAAAAAATCTGATGCCATCTCCCCCTCCCTTCGAGGCATCCACTTTTCTTCTATTAGCCCTGTTTAAATTTTTCTCTTTTAGCCAGCTTGAACTTTGATATTTTAGCCCTTGCCCGAGTTCCTACTGATGAACTCCTCCATATCCACAGAACTAACTACAGAGCTGAACATCAGTCTTCACACTAGAAGCATCCTTCTCTGTACGAACAGTCTGCACCTCCAGAACTCAACATGTGACTCCAGGGGTGTGACTCCACAGGTCCAAAGGAACTGTGAGGAAAGGGTCTCCCCGCACTGAGCTGGGGTCACGTATCCCCACCTCTGCACACAGGTTAGAAGCTACCGCTTTGACTTCTCCATTCTGCTCCTCTCCTTCTTTGGCAGTTCTACAAAAGCTTTCTCCAATCTTACTAGGAATTACCACTAGGAAAACACTGCCAATAGCTTTCAGAGTCAATAATAATGGTAGAACAAAAACAGTTATTGTAAGTTAGTTACAGAGGCTAAGAAGAGGGAGAGGAATAATTATATATATTGGAGTGCTACACTCTCTACTGATTGAGCACGAGATTTAAAATTTGACAGGTCATTAAAACTAATATTCTCTGAGACCACACTGACCATTCTATTTTCTCCTTCTTTGTATGTGTCTAAATATCCATGTATTTTCCACAACATTTTTCACAAGGTAATAATGAGCCACTGATTGAACAGAATAAGATCCATTAATTAAATGCAAAGGAGACAAAAGACAATTATGTGGTAAGGCTGATAAAAAAAGAAAAAAATGATTAATTCAGGACAAATTAACAAATCTAAAATGACTGCTGAAATTACTACTAATCACTGCTGATCTTAACTCAGTTGCTGAATCATAATTTGTTCCTTCATACAAATTGATTTTAAAAAATATACCCATGACAAAGTGCTTTCCCTCTACCCCAAATACCAGAAGCAAATAATGCCATAAATCTTGTTGGACATTATCTCACTGAGATCATTTTCCATTTTCTTCCTGTTTTCACACAGAACCTTAAGACTAGGCTATATACTGCAGTTCAAAAGAAGAAAGTTGAAATTTCACCTTGCCAAGCATATTTCTTCCCATTTAAATCAATAGCGAAGTCTTCAGGGTAGAAGTCAATTATGCTTGATTCCTGTATTTGAGAAAAACAAACAAGAAAATATCAAAGTCAATTATGAAATTGATTCAAAAGACTATGTAGCACATTTAAAAAAACACTCTATTAATGAGGAGGCAAAGAATTTTGACTAATAAGATCATCTTCCATTAAATATCATTTAACTGGGAAGAATGCTAAGGCACATCCACTACTCAGAGTGTCAAAACAAGAAAATTTGGGAATAGAATTCAGGACGGCTTGACTAAGGTCTCTGGATCCCCAAATAAGTGTTATACGGTTTCTAGAAGAAAGTAAAAAGTTTTACCAAGTGTTAGGGGGAGAGGGAAAAAAAAAAAAGAAAAAAAAGAAAAAAAAAAGTCAGGAAAAGATTTTCCTCATCCAAGCACTTCAAGTAAAAAATACACTTTTAAGGATGTTTAAAGAATCTCTTTAATTTACCCAAAACATTCCTTCCTCTTTTCCATTATTTTTTTCATCCAAAGAAAGCACCACCAAGTCACATTCACACACAACCGCAACATAGCAAAACCTCACAGAGAGGAACGAAACAAGGATTCTTACAGGATCTGTCATGAGCTTCCTCCAGGTTGGTGGCAGGAAATTTCCACTTGCAGCTGGAAACACTCCCATGAGTTGTTCAAGAGGCTTGAACTGTGGAGAGTAGACAAACAGATGTAGAATAGGYCTAAGAAGTTGTTAAAACCCAACTAAAGGCACCGTACCGGTTTGGAGCCCTTTTCAAAATCTGAGGGCATGTCTGCGATGCCCTCGAAGTCTGAAGCAAAGGGGGCATAATGAAAAGGGTAATACCAGTTCCAGGATGCACAGCCCTAGGAGAACAGAAGAAGAGAAACAAGTCAGACAAACTGGATTAGTGAAAAGAAAATAAAACAAACCAAAGACATCCAAGCAGTCCAGTATGTAAAGATGCCAAAACTTTGCCAAGCATCAGGAGCAGAAGGAGGAGYCCCCGTGACTGGAAAAGAAAGAGCTCTTGCATCTACAGGTACTCTGGGCAGGGAACGGAGACCTTGGGCCTTCCTGGGCAGCACCTACCCAGTAGACAGAGCCCCGCACCAGAGCTCTCTCACCAGGGGCCACGGCTGAATCACTAAAGGAGATGGCCACCGAGATGGGACCTGGCACCATAACAAAGACCTCAGAGCACAACCACAGCCTGAACTTCAGCACTAATGCACCTCTTGTTATTTCTTTTCCAAGGGGAAAGAACAAAGCAACACGGGCACACGCGCATGCACCAGTCAAGCAGCAGGAACCACAGGCTCTCCACAAGGTTATCCAGGCCCTGGAGTTAATTTGAGGAGCTCATAGCAAYTGGCCACATGTTCAGTTTGTGCGGAGCTGCTGCACATCCAAGACAATGGGCACGGAGAGCTTCTCCATTGGTATATAAACAGGGCAGACCGAGCAAGGCAAAGGGGTTTCAGAAGTCTCGCCAGCAATAGAGCAGCCCTGGTTCTGGCAGCACCCAATTTGCACTCTTGATTTTCAAATCCCAATCCCACTATTAACTTGTGAGGTTGAGGGACTAGAGAACCTGGAATGATGCACAGCACAAGGCCTACAAACAGGCTGAAAAATATCCTGGTTTAAATTATTTTTCTGTCTGATAAAAAGTACTACCTGCACTTCCAGTTATCTTTTGCTTTTCCCCTCATTTTTCTGCATTTAATATTGGGAAATATTAAGTTCACTTGAAAGGGGCAAAATCTCAAAAAGATGATGTGAAAGTCAGCTCATACGCACTGGAACACAATGCATTGGATCAAGAAGACATGTCTCTAAAAAGCCTAAAGTTAAGTTTTCCTCTCCTTAGCTAGTTTTCTTAGCAACATCACTTGAAACACAATTCTACTATTTTGACTTTGAGTTCCAAGCAAGTAAATGTCAGTGAGACCCCTCTGGTGCCATTCTTGTTGTAAAATTATAAATGTTATAATTACCAGAAGCACCAGAAACAATTCTTCAGATGTTTTTTTTAAACTAAGTATATGTATTTTTTAAAGCAGATGTTCCCATTAGTGGAACATATCCTACATTACTAGCTTTGTAAACAAGTAGAGAAGCAAYTAACTAGTTCTTCTTTAAGTCCTCTGCACAACAAGCAGTAGCTACTGAAATAAATTCCTATTATGGTAAAGGAGAAAAGCACAAGAAAAAAAAGGAAAATTCAAAGTGAGTTGGTTTTTAACTCCTCAGCTTCCTAGCCTATGTTTCATAGGGACAGAAAGGCCACGCTGGCACAACTGCCCGTATCTCGCCCAGCCGCAGCCGCGTTACGGGGCACAGGCAACGTGAGCGCTCGCAGGGCTCCCATCGCTCGCGCTGCTTTGAGTCTGCGTTGTCAGCTTCAGAAGCCCTAGGGATATTTGGCTTATGGAGTAATCGGGGGAGGAATCCAAACAGCACAGAAACTCAACCCTAGATGTCTGGGTGCTTTTATGAAGTTTTCCTTCACCTCACGACTGACTCAGAAACTCATGCCCCACGTCGCTTCTCTTTGAGGCCGTTCTGCTGCTTCATTTTCTCGAGAGCACTATGGTGCTGCCTGGAGGCTGGAGCTATTCTCACTCTCCCCGACTTGCTTGCTTTGGAGCTGTAATCATCTGTCACTTAGCTATGCACCACTCGCTTCAGCTGAAATGTCCCCAAACTCCATAGGACAAGGAGCCATCAACATTCATCTCCAACTAGACCAGCTTTAAAGCAAGCTAAATTGGCAAATATTGCAAAAAGACTTGCCAATACTGTTTTAAAATGGGGGAGAGGCTGCTCTGCCCACTCCTATACACTCAAAGGCATAAGTCTCACAAGAGTACACATGCAAACACAAATCCACTTTGAAGAGTTATAGAACAGCCCCACTAGATCTGCACAAGATCACGTACACGATCATATGGAACATACCCCACTCCAACGCACAAACTTCCCTGAATAAAACTGTCTTAATCTTTTACTCTTCAAATGAGTGTATTCGGTCACCTCTTAGACCCTCTCAAGGATATTCATCTCAGTTTTGCCATGGGCTCCTTCCTTTAAACCCTGTAGCTTCTGTTCCAAACCAGGCTGCCTTTTGCAGGGTTTTGCACTACTGGCAATGCTGAAGGCTGCGTGGAGAGCTCTCCACCAAGCAGACCCCTGCACCTCATTTGATTATCGATGTCCTTTAGAGATACGTGTGCCACAACCAGCAGGAAAGCAGCGTGCTGGCCACGGGCCCAAGCTGTGTGCAGGCCACAGGAAGCTGCACACGCAGAGGTGGCCGCCTGGGCTGTGAGAGGACGTTTCTGCTCTGCAAGGGYAGCTGCTCGAGGACGTGTCGAGCTCAGGGCAGCTCTCTTGCAGCCAGCCAGCCTGGGCACCTCATCCCTGCGAGTGCAGACTGGGGCAAGCCTCAAACTCCAGCATCTTCAGGCACGATAATCCGCAACTCCGAGCCCTAACTCGGCTGCAGTAACGAAGGGATCACGTCTCTTTCTGGAGATTTTAAAAAAGAGGAAAAAGCTGAAATAAGCTTGCAAACTCCAAGGGCGTGTAGCTTTCTGTAGGTATGAGAGATACTTGCAGTGCCYCTGGTCCAAGCCAGCACCCACTGCAGCCTGGAAAGGGTCTGGTTTTATCCGCATTTAGTTCAAGCTAAAAGCCCTCAGGAGGCAGTTAAGCAGACTCAATTCCCAGGTCACACAAAATATAACTTGCTTTGTTCTCAGAGCACGAAAATAGTTATTAACTGCCACTGCAACAAACCCCAATGTCTAACTAATCTCTTGCCAATCTGACATCTCAATTATCAAAAGATGTAAATGAGATACAGATTACTTAAATTACAGTGTACTTCATAGAACATCATTATAATCTAGGGAGGAGACTGACAACTCTGCTCCTTTCAATTCTTATGAGCATTTCACAGGCACTGCCTTTTGTTCACTCATTTAGTCATTTGCAATTAATTGCAGCAGCCCTTGCACAGCTATGTATTGCAAAGGAAAAAATATGCGCTGGTTCTTAATAAACTAAAAAAACAAAACAAAACACTGCTGCTGTGCAGGAGTAATAAAAATTTAATTCAAATCTTGAGCRTTGATAGAACAGGCACCCACTTTGAGGATTCTGCATCCTCAAAATCCCGACTGCTTCTCAAAAAGAAGTCATGACATATGATTATTTACAGCAAAGAGATAGGCAGCAGACAAAAGAAAATTGAAGTTTCAGAGAAGAACTTCTAAGTACCTGATAATAGTATCTGAGAACCCAGCAAAGCCCTTCAACATAGGACTGCACAACTTTGCGACGGAATTTCTCATCGGATGCATCAACGTCAAATTTATTTTTATAATAGCGTTGCTTCCAACCAGCTTCCCATAACCTGCACAATAAATACAATTAGATGATATGCTTAATTACATGCACATTTACATTTTTGAAATAAAATACTGTGAAAAAGCTTGTGCAGCACAAACAACACACGCCTGGCAATCTGACAGATACTGCTTAAGTTCCCATTTTGACATGTTTTTTTTTTTACTGATTTAAATGAAAGCACAARAGCAGACACTCAGCAAGCAAGTAAAACCTGATGGTCAAGACAAGAGAAAACCCAAACACAATTCCAAGCTGCCATCACGTCCATCTTCCAAATACTTTTCAGAAACAAGGTAGATTTTTCAAATTTGCAGCTGCTGATGCAAGGATTTTCTAGAACAATGTACCGTTCCCAAGTCCAAGATTTCTCCCTTCTCATCAGAAATCTACTACCAAAACTAAAGTTTTAACTTTGTTCCCTAATTTTTCCAGCCATCAGGAAGAAAGCAAGCTCTCCACTTCTTGCTTGAACAATTTCACCCAATTTGCCCTTCACATAATGCTAGTCCCCTCTCACAGCGAGCTCAAGCCTTTGATCCTCATGCTCTACTCAAGCCGAGCACTGATGGTTTCTGGGCTAGCCAAAGTGAAAGGCAAGCATATAATGATTTTTTAAAAGCTTGCTTGCTATATTCTACTGCTGTTTGGGTATGCTCTAATCACCACCAGACTCATCTGGTTTAGAAACTCGTTAAGTCACATAAAATTACTAGTAAAAAGTTTTTTGAAAAATAATTTTATTCTAAAAGCTCAAATCTTGGCATGGATTCTCACATCCAGAAATTCCAACGTAAGACTCCTTTGCAGCAAGGATGCAACCTTTTAAAATTACATGCAGAGGCAGAGCAGAACTGGGAGGCCAACTCAGYCTCATACTGCAATAAACAATACAGACTAGAAATTGGTTTATGCTTCTGTTTCACAGCACAAAATCTTTCCATTTTGCAAAAGTAAAATAAATAAAACATATATATATATTTTGGTAAACAACTTCTCTGCATCCAGCCCATTTAAGCAGTTGTTTTTTATTTAGGAAGAACCATTTTCAGATTACTGTTTACTTAAATTCCATTCAGATCCAAATATAACCTGATACAAGTCACACATTTAGTAAACACAGTGCTAGAAAAGAAGTCTATTCATCCTTTCTTAACACAGCGCAAAGCCCACAGGTGGGTTTCATTAAAATAAAAATCAAATTCCATGCAAATATTCTGATCTACAGAAGAGCTTAAATGAGGAACAGCATAACCTTTTGGCTGACGGTACCAAACTTGTCAAAATTCTAGCAACTTGTAAATCCACATGATTCATTCCCACTAGTCATCTCAACCGCTAAATGCTTCTCAGTTAAAACTCAACTGGCACCTGGCATTAAAATTATCCTGATCCTACAGAGAAATTTCTTCCCTGTTGGATCAAAAAAACCCCACACAATTCATTTGGATCAACGTGCACAGGAAAAAARTATGACAACTAGAGTATTTACTAGCACAAGCTCTAATGGGCTAGATAACATATCGTGACAACACTGCAGGACACTAGTGATGAATCCTTCACAATACATAACCTCTCTGTTTCTCTATGTCTATGTCCCTTCACTCTGTAAAAGACAAAAAAACTACTGGTTGCTTTTATCTTGACAGAAATTTATACAAGTTATTTGACAAAAACAATTCTAAGGCCCTAACCCTTATATCTTGATTAAAAGCTTAAGCAAACTCACACCCACTGTTAATTGGCAGGCTATTCAATTAAGTCTCAAATCATCTGCGCAGCAGCTGTCTTAAGAAACTTCAAGATTTCCTTGCAGCCAAAACAGGCCTCTTATAGACCAAATCCTGAGGAAATAYGGTGCAGCAGTCAAGGTAAGCAACATAACTGAATTTTATGGGTTAAGCAGCTTAAAAATGCAACTGCAAACCAGCTGCATTCAGATCACATAATCAGGGCCGAGCAAGTGAATGTCTAGCCAATCTAGTGCTTGGTCTCAAAGGGAGCAGTGGTTAGAGGATGTAAACCCACACGCATACTAATCTCCATACTTAGATTTAACAGCTATAGCTTACACATCTCACTGGAATTTACTGAATATTCTAACCCTCCACGTTAATTACCGGCGGATAAAAAGATCATAGAAAAGCATCTGAAGGCGCTGCTGCTCTAAGCTAAATGGCATTAATTAGACTGCATCTATCTCAGCAATTTGTTAACAAAGTGCTACCAAAAATGGCTTCACCTGATATTATCCTCTGGCTCAGGTTCACTGTCACTGTCTTCAGCTTTTCGCTTAATTCCTCCTGCCGGGGACGGGCTGCCGTCAGAAGTGAGGCTGGTGTTTGGAGACGGGGAAGTTATCTGCGGACATGATTATTGCACATAAATGGGAGGGAGAGAAAGGGTTTATTAGACATTTTAAATTCAAGTTAAAATTAATAGCTTGGCAAGAAAGAAAAACCACGAGCATCATTTTTAGTTCCCCCAAAGCTCCACATAAATGGTATAAAAGTCTAAAAATATTAAGGCAAGAAGCAAAGGACAAGCATGTGCATTAAGGGACAGAGGTACAGTCACGTAAGTCTTTACAATTATGAGAGGAAAGATACAGTGGACAAGATGGTATCAATGGACAAAACATGGAAATTTTTACATATCCTAAAAGAAGCCTTTAGAGTACAACTCTTGGCTCTAGTCCCAGGGACTACATTACAAGTTTTAACAGTGACAATAAAAATGTGTTGCATGTATAAGCTACAGTGCAAAAGCTCCTTGTAATTCAGAACTAGCAGAAACACTCTAGGTTTTGTCCCAGATGATTTTTTGCAACATTGCAAATCACTGCAACAAAATAAAACATTGTATTTCAAAAGAAAACGGAAGATAAACAAGTAGGTAGCTTCCCTCAAAGACCTACATTGCTTAACCAAGCACAGAAGTTGCTGGATTAAAAGAGAAAAAGCAGCATTAGCTTTAGAAAAGCAAATTGTATTTACTCAGACTTAAAAACACCACAACAACAYAAAACAGAAAATATATCTTCACAACGAGAAGAACCCTTACTCAAAATCCTATCACTGTTCAGATGAAAAATAACAAGCAAAAAGAGAACATTCATCATGACTGTTATCAAAACCTAACAATCAAGACAGCTAACAAATCACTCTATGTATTTCCAATTTTCCATCACTTATGGATACCCTTTCAAAATTTTCTTTTAAGTTTCCCTCCCTCTGTCCACAGGCAACATTTTGGAAAGTAAAATCAGCTCCCCAAACTCATAAATATTCTATTCATAATTTTTCAAAATATAATGCACAGACAAGTTACCTATAACGGAGATGATTAGGTAAAAGTCATTAATAAAAGTATGCCTAAAATAAAAATATTGAGAATTAAAAGAGAAACTAGAAATTGTGAGAACTGACTGTAAGTGACATAAGGCCCAGGGGAAATGCACATGCAGGTGGGAACGGTGCCAGATTTTGCACATGTGTTTCCTTTGAYACATCGTTTAGTGGCAGATAAATTAACTTATCCCGGGCTATTTGCAAACATAACATCAACCTTCTAGACAAGCTCTGTGGCACTAAGTCTCATGTATGTGCAAACAGGTATTCAATCTAAGTTGGAGGAACACTTAGATAAAACATCCTAGGGGAGTGGAGCATTAGTAAAGAATGAAAAACACCGAGTTGGGTGTAGTTTTCTATAGACCTAAATCCAAAGAACTACTAAATATAAAGAACTGCAATAGTGAAGCTTTCTGGAAGTTGGCCATTCCCAGASCTCTTTAATCTTAATTCATCCAATTTATTGCCAGAGGACATTAGGGGAAAGAAGAACCAAGAAGCTTTTTGGACCAAACATACAAAGAATAAAAAMCCCTCATCTCTGTTCACCCACAAAGCTTAAAAACCATCAGGGATCAAACTTTAGCTAATGCTGGGGCATGGGAGGAAAAAAAAAAAAGAATTATAATACATGTTTAAAATATGCTAAGAATCCATCAACTGTAAGGAAAAGAAATAACCCAGCATTGAAGTTTTTATAGCATGCAGGAACATCACACTTGCAGAGTTTTTTTAGAGGCCCTTCACATTCCTGCTTCAAAAAATCCTCTATATGTTTATACAATGGCCAAAGGATCAAAACGCACACTTTCTATGCACATGTCATTCATCCTCTAAGGCACTGAAAATTAGACATGTAAGCAACAGTTTCAGCATAATCAAGCTATACATCAACAACTCTTGGGGTATTTTATCAATTCCTAACACTATGAATGGACAGGAAGTGTTCTCAGAAAATCATTAATCAAAGTGGTCTGCAGAACGGACCTATGTTCTTTTATTTATTTACTTTTACTAGCTTTAGAAATTGGGGTATCTGCAAGGCAGAATTGTTCATGTTTCTCACAAACCTACAGAGGAAGTTCCTAAGCGTATATTAATGAGGAGGTTCATCTTCCCAAATGTCATCAAACAGGTTTGATTATAATTGATATGAGCTATACTTGAGTGGGATACATTTGACTCACAATTGTCTTTCTAGAAATATTTAACAAGCAATGTCATTTCAAACATAAAAAATGCAGAACACAATTTTTTTCAAGTAGCCTCAAAAAAAAAAAAAAAGTCATTAAAAGCTATTTCCGTGGAAAAAAAATCTGTTTTCCACAGGAAACTTGACAGGGCAGAGAATAAGGCCYACAGAGCTACCAAGAATGTGCTTATTCCTCCTTCCATTTGCAAATACCCTTAACCAGGTACTTACAGAGTTCTGCCGGTCGTGCATCCTCATCTCGTAGGCGGCCTGTCGAGGGCTGCTGATTGCCTGAGGACTCGATCGATTTCCCAGGGCTTGAGGGGAAAACTGTCCACCAGGAATAAAAGCAGGATGATCTCTCTATAAAATAAAAATGCATGTGTATATTCAGAGGGGGTGTGTATTCTCCATGGCATACGCAATGACGCTTAATCACAATCTTTGGCTCAACATATCTCATACAAAACAAGTGTAATTTAAGCAATTAATTCAGTCAGTTCAGCTTAAATTAGGTGTGATTAGCAAGGTCTTATCTGGACATAAAATGGCACTTACCAGCAAGTATTATATTCCTTACATTTCTACAACTTCCCCCCCCGCCTTCCCAAAGAAAACCAAACAGATCACCCAGTATTTTGTGCTCAAGTTCTTCATGGGTTGAAAGGTATTCCGGGGAGGGGGGCGCRGAATGAGACTACTTAGCTTAGTTTGAAAAAGGACTTTATGTAAACAAAGTAAATAACTTAGAATGCATGCCTTTAAACAAGCAAATCAACGCAAACCTGTGTGCACACTTAAACTTAACACCTTAACCTAATATTCTGTTGAAGCACATTGACCTGAACACAACACAGTTGTTGACAGCTCTTGCATCAATATATGGAAAAGCTGCCGCGTACATACAGTGCAGCAAAGCACACAATAATTATAAAAGTGCAGATGCATCTCCATTCCAAGAACACAACGTGGAGTTTTCATGGGGCACCTTCAATACTCTTCCCTCCTCCCCAGTTTAAGAAGCCTTTAGCAACTGCTTCATTCAAAAAGGTATGGARAAAAGCAAAGATACGAAAAAGGAAGTACATTGCCAAAAGTCATGATKAAAAAACTGCGCCTGTAACTCAGGTTTACTGAGAGCTATACTGTATATTTTAATTGCTGCCAGTGTTCTTTTTGTGTGGTGAAAGGAATTAATTTACCTTCATTCTTTTTTTTTTTTCTTTTTGTCGTCTTTTGAAGTTGTCCTAAATAGAGGTTAGAGAGAAATAAAGTCAGATTAGCATACAGGTCTCTTGGAAAAATATTTCACTGCAATCCTCTACCAGCTAAAACTAAATGGTTTTCAAGTACAGCTCTGAATACAATACAGCTCAATTCTTATACCTGTAAATCCAACAGAAATGGGATAAAAATTTCCACTCTACAKGGAAAAAATGCAGAAAAAAAAGCAGCTCTGTATTCCAAGCCCCACAGTGCTGGTTACAGCTTATATTCCCCACTAAGTTTTGCCTCAATTATCAAGTCCTCAAATGTAAGGATAGAAAATCAGAGTTTTAGCAGTAGCAGCCCACTATCAATTAGAGTTGAAGGTGACATCAGTATCAAAGGGCTTCAAGTGATAACACACAGACGAGCTCTTTGTCTGGACTGGAATTGCTCAAAAATAAACAAACACGAACAAACAAAAAACAGCAGAAACATTAAAATCCCAGCAATGGGCAAGAAGAGGCTCTAAAAGCTACTTACTACTCTCGGTCAAGGATACTGACAACTTGAGAAAGTGCTAATTTGATGTTCAAGTGACATGTAGGCTGGAGTTCTTATCAACAAAATATTTTGCCAGCACTGGTACAGCATTTTCTACTGGATATTAGATAAAACTTCTTTTCCTTTGTGGACAGGGTGTTTTTATGCCCTGCACTAAATGAGTAAGCTGCATATGCAAAGACTTGAGATAGACAAAACACCCCTCAGGCAGAAGAAAAAAAGYAGCTGTAACACAAAGATTTTCTACATCTGATAACATAAGTACTATATGAAAAGAAAATAAATAAAGTTTTAAAGACAGGTCTACTAGAATTTCACTTGAAAACTTTAGTACTGTGCCACCACTCACTGCCAACACTTCCACAGGTTGCAGCAAGGTACAAAACAACTCCTGCTTAGTTTTCATAGTAGTTATACAAAAAGCTGCAGGCAGCAACAAGACTGATATATAGCATTTGTCCTGCTGTTACTTGGAATTACAACAGGAAAAATAGGCCCTGCAATCCAGGGAAAGAAAATGAAATGGGAGGACTCAATTTATTTTCAAACACTGAGGAATTCAATGGAGAGTATAGCAACGAAATACAAAGTTATTATTCTATTAAGGCAGCGTGGCAGTCTAATAGTAATAGAAGGGGTCAAAAGCAAACTCCAAGAATGTAGCAAAGAAAATTACATCATCATCTTTTCTCTTTTTGAAAATACTATCTTCAACTTCCCCAACAGCTAACATGATCATCTGGACTCGCTGCAGGTTGACAAAACCACTTTCTGTGAGGTATCCCTGTAAATTAAAAAGAAAGACAGTTGAAAAACAAAACTCTTCAGTCGTAAATGCCAAGGTATTTTAATTTAAAAAAAAAAAAACCACAATTAAAAAAATTTAAAACCCCCCACACTTACCCCAGTTTTGTGCACCACGTTTTTATATATGTTAACCAAGCGATCAATTGCTCCCTCCCTACAAAGCATCAAAAAAGCATTAGAAAGCATTAGATTCTTTTCATTTAAAACCATTGCACATATACTTGCAGAAAAGGAAATTATTTTCTCGTTTACCTGATCTCCAAAGATGGCAGATGAGGAAGAAAGTCATTTCCCACAAAGAAGCACATAAAAACCCAGTCATCAATGCTTCTTTCGAAATCAAAGGTGAAAGGTAAACTGGCCATGGTGAGTTCTCTTTCCAAATACTGCAGCACATGCAGACAAGAGAAAAAGGACATTGGGAAGGTTTGTGCATGCAGTTAGAAGCATTGCTTGAACAAAGCAGATGCAATAACTGCTTTTGCATACCTCTCGCAAAACACAGAGTCGAATGAAGATAAATTCTTGTTCAGAGGTAGGAAGACTGTCTGCAAACTGATCATGCTATAAAATAAAACAGAAGCCTTGCATTACATCCAGGTTGATCTTAAAGTTTCACCAGGTCAATTTTAAAGGCTTGATTTGAAAGGAGTTAAAAGACAAACAAATAGAGTTTCTCAAGTACTTATGCCAAGCATATAATCTACTATTTTGCGTATGTCAAGTTATTAGCAGTTTTCTCTCATCAGCAACAACAACAAAAAAAAAAAGCAAGGATTTTAGATCTGACATTATTTTTATGCTACAAAAGCACAATTTTTWTTTATTCATAAAACAGAAAGGTTGGGTAGTTGCAACAATATAACTCATATTGTACTTTGGCCAAAGACTGCAGCAAGAATCACTTGTGGATCTCATTCAGACATAAACTGCTTCATAAATCGAAAGATTTTCTCCAAATGGTGATAACGCTTACCTTGCCTTGTTTTTCTCTGGGCAAGCCTTGGCAATCCTTAACTTCGTGACCCATCTGGTTACAAAGACTACATGGTTTGGGTTTATTTGGTTTAAACTCTTCCCTAATTATAGTGAAATTTGGTTCATGTGTTGCTAATCCAAGCATGATTAGATCAGCTATCAATTAAAAGAGAAAAATAAAAATAATGAAGCATGAACATTATTAAGCATTCTTAAATAGAGGTGCTTTCCCACAGGCTCATTCTGAATCACCTTTCTAACAAATCATTTGTAGCTGGATAGGACCTAAGATACAACTAAGCAAAAATTAGCCCTTCACTTTAGACAATGCTGAATCTTTCTCAAATACTAGACAGAGATTCAAAAAAACCAAATACACCATATATTTCCACAAATGCAAATGAAATTATAAACATGCCAGTAAAACTGAATCATGAAATTCAGCCCAGAAAATTTAACACAATCTATATCTCTACCAGAGGAGAACTCACCATCAGCTCCACAGAGACAGTGATGAGTGTTTGGGTCATGGTTTGGCTGAGCTATACAAAAGAAAATTACATTTGTTCATATTAAAAGTCATGTAAAATAATTTTTATATAAAATGTTTGTATTTAAGTATAAAATGCGAATGATACCTCTTTGTCTTCTAATATAATCCATGATTTTATGTTCACCTTCACCAGGAGCACTAGCATCAGACAAAATAACCTGTGAGGCATTTAAAGATCACATAAACAAGTTATGCTGACTCAGTAAAAAATATGTACTTTATACAGTGAATATTCATTCTAACTTATGAATACTTAACTAAGAATTTCTAATTGCAAATAAATATTATGATTAAAAATAAAAAAGAACAATTCAAGAGTTTGGATCCAATGATTACCTCTATTTTTAAGTACTGAATTAATTGTGTTGCAGATCTTTTCTCCTAATTCCAGGACCAAGCTGACACATTGACTCAGGTAACACAAAAAAAAAATAATGGAGACAGCAATAATGAATGCTAACTTTCCTAATTAACTATCAATACACAGGAGAGAAGCGACAGATAAAGCAGACAAATGCTTTCCTCCTGTATCTGCTGAACTCATACACATGCTGATATAACTTTACATCCTTTCTCACATTGATTCCTAGATGAGCATCAGGAAGCTCCTGTGAGATGGATGGAATTAAGCAGAGTCAACTGTCCTCTAATTAGAGCACTTTAATGTCAACTTATGGCAAAATGTATGGACAGCTACACTGGGAAATGTTAAATAATTTTACTCTCGTGTACAGAGCAAACAGGGTTATCTCAAACAAAACTTGATCGTGGTGGAGTGGCTGAGAAACTTGAGAAAAGAATCTAGAAGTACAAAAAGGCAAGGAAGTTGAAAAGTTGGTAAGAATCATTTTTGTTGCCTGATATTTAGTGTACTCCATCACCAGAAATAAAGGAGGAAACAGCCTGCCCGGGCCATCCAAAAAGGTTAAAATGTAGAGAAAAGAACGCATACACAATGTATCTTGATGCTCTTTCCCCTAGGAACAAAAAGGGTTCTTAAAACCCTGTCTCCCATTGTATCAAACTACGGTTTCTGATATCAAATCTCATTATTGTTCTTGAAAGAAACCTTCTTATATGAAATCAAAACAAATGGCTCTGTTAGATGGTGTTATTAGGATGAAATGCATCTCTGAAAGGCCTAGCAGAATGTGCGAGTTGCCATTAATAATAACAACACAGTGCCCGAAGATAAGGCAAATCTGTTGAATTTATACTCTTCAATCACATCCCAATCTAGCCTAATAGATCACCTTAATTTTCTTCAAGTGTGAAACTGTGAAACTCACCGTCAAATTTCTCCAGCCCGGGTCACTGTTTAAACGGTCAGCAATGTAATAGCGGAGACATTTAGCAAGATTGTCCATAAACTCAGTTCCCTAAAAAGTGTCAGGAAAAAAAAATAAATTAAGCCATCATTCAGACATGGGCAATTGCTGGTTAAAGTTCAAGATTACTTACTGGGGTAATACAGTTGCTGTCAAATCTCTCTTTCACTTCTTCTGGAGGAAGAATGCCACCTAGAGTAATGAACACATTTAACACAGTCAGCCAATGCAAAACGTTTAAAAGGCTTTTGCATGACAAGCAACCCTTTTATTGGCAATTACTTCATTATATGTATTTTTTATATTTTATATATATATATATATATAAAATATACATAATACATATACAAAACAGCTCTTATTATATTATCTCCATCTTTAAAAGAGGGAACTAACATTTGTACACGAGTCATCTGTTGCTTCAGAGAAGGAATTTCACTATTTACTCTGCTAAAAGACCACGAAGGGAGATGTAAGGAAGAAACCACCAACCTTGCTAAATCAGATCAGATATTAGGAAATGATTATTTTCCTCTGTGTTTTCCTCTATGTTTCCACTACCTATCACCTGGCCTCACTAACYGGATTACACCATTTCTCTCCCCTCTCAGCTGCATAAAAGGCCTCCATAGTCTGGAAATGCTACAGGAAGAGACATTAAAAAAAATGCCCTGCCTTTTTAACCTCTCTTTTTAATCTCTAGATTACACAGTGTCTCTCTTGCTGGGATGGTGCCTCCTAGTCAGTCGCCYGAATTTACTTCTCCACCCCAAACAGCATGTTTTAGGTGCACATTCTTCTTTCACTGAAATCTTCTGTCACCTTAGAAAGCTGCATCAGTTTTGTTATTCTCAGAGTTTAAAGAGCTTCCACCATCAAGTAGCTACTCTTACTTGAAGCTCATTACTTCCATCTAGTAGTATTTTTATCTCAAACTCACATCCAAGTCCCAACCCTCATCATTTTTTTCCTCCAATATTATATATTTGCATTTTCTTCCATGGAGTTTTAATTAGCTTCCCACTGCTACATTTATCCTTTTTATCACATTTATTCCAGGACAAACCCATTTCAGAAACAGAGACCAAAAGAGGACTAAAAGGGGTCATTCTGTTTCATCTTGGATCCTAATTTTGGAATAAAACAGATCCATCCTTTTCTAGGTTTACTATATCCTCCTTCCCTCTACTGCTGCATAAAGAGTGAGCACTGGGCAAAACATCCTTTTCCAAGCTTTATTAAAAGCTTCAAAACAAAGAAGGTAACTCTCTCACTTGAGGAAAAAGAGAGAAAAAAAAAAAAAAAAAAAAAAGAAAGAAAAGCCAAATACAGTCACAGCTCTACCTTTTGCCAGAATTTCTTGTCTTATTTTTTGCTTCTCTTCTGCAGCTTCCATTCCCTCCTTTGATGCTCTGAATCTTCGTGACCGTTGCTGATTCATTTTTGCACGTGGAGCCTAAAACACATATTATAACTCTTGGTTCTTCCAAACCCACCTGGATGCCACCCTGTGCCCTGTGCTGTGGGTGTCCCTGTCGGAGCAGGTGGTTGGACTAAATGATCTCTAGAGGTTCCTTCCAACCTCAACCATTCTGTGATTCTGGTTCAGTTATAGCTGATAAMAAATAATTATTAAACAGAAATTGGCTTTGGTTATTAAGCCAAGTCTTTTGAAATAGCTTGTTCCTCACCTCTCAGAAACACACAAGGCTCAAGGTTTCTCTTACAAGCTAAATGAAACTTGCAAGTGCAATCCATATGAGAAGAGTTATTTACTATGCACACTTTCTTCAACAAAAACCTCCTCCAATTGTATCCACACTGTACCCACATGCTTGCTCTTTGCAAATAAAAAAACTCCAGAGCRAACAGTGGGTAGCTACTGCTTAGGGCATGTATTTTGAGATTTTTAAAGCAATATGGCAATGGAGCTTGGGGATATTTCTATACACACCAATCTCTGAAATTCCTGCACTTAGATTAAGTTTAAAATGAGAATCTACTAAGTAGAAAGATTTTAAGTTTTAAAACTGAAAAACCTTAAAAAACAACTGAACTTTAAGAGTCCTTAACAGACAGGAGTCTGTTGGGCCATTTTAATATTTCTTAATGTGAGACTACATAATCAAAACAGAGAAAAGATTCACTAGAGCAATGTTTTTAAGAAAAGGTGAARCCTTACCACCTTTTCATTAGGGCAAGTCATGTACCTGGGGGACAGAGGAAAAGGCTAAGRAGAAAGCCAAGCTTTCAGGCTCAAACGTCCTCTTAAGGCTACTCTGTGAAATATTTCATAGCACAATTAAATCACTGCCCATTTTAAGTGCATCTGCATAAAYAGTTTTTTGGTCTTTCCTAATCTGCTGCATAAATTATCAGTAAAGCCACAGAACAAAAGAACCTAAGGAGCAGTCCAGGGAGTTACTATCCTGCAGAAGTCTTCTGCTTTCCACTACCGAAATTCAAACTTCAAGAGTCTGACTTTAGTCAGCTTACACAACCAACAATATCCACAGATGGTTTTAATTACTGTCACCAAAATTTAACTAACAATGTATTTTACCTGCAAACTTTTATYTCAGGAAACTATTTTCCAAACGATCTTATGAGAGCAGGTGGTTGATAACCTAATTTCACAACCATCTAATTTCACAAACAGCCCTTACTAGGARCTAAATGGATAAGTACTTACTACTCCATCTATAGCCATGTAAAGAAGTCGCCTTGGTCTTACAATGTTGAAGATCCTGTCAATATACTCAAAAATGGCAACCATCATTTCATCTTCATTTTTGGGTGCTGGCCTAAAATGCAGAGCATTCAATTAACCATCTGAAATGTTCTGAACAAATCCTATTTGTAAAGGAACAAAATCTGCCTTACTTGTCTTCAGGGTGTGTACAAGGGTGGATTATACCATTCATATCCAAGTACAGATTATCAAATTCCACCTCATTAGGATTAGGTTTGCTGGTATCAATTGGAGCCTTGACACCATTGCACTCTTTAGCCTGTGAAAACAGTTGAAAACAAATGTCTCACTACATGATCACAGAGATAACATGAAGAAGCAGCAGAGCTATTAACACCCAAAAGAGTAGATTTTTTCCAAGGAGAACAGGAAGAAACAACAATCTACCGACAACATAATTACCTATAGATTCACACACTACTAAGATAGCTTCATTTTAAGATGTGTCCTTAAAACTGCAAGGTTTTACAGYGAGTTACAGAAGAGCTGGTTGATTACTGTTGACTGTCAGGTATTACACATACTGTTTCAAGAAGTTTCCATACTTCATACTAGTCAAGAAAAGTAATTTGCACTGCTAGGACCACACGGAGTTAAAATTTACCAAAGACTGTAAGAACTGGAATATTAACTAAAATAATGAGATACAGAACATATTGAGAACATTAAACAAAAAGATTTTAAAAATCTTTCTCCTTTAAACAATTCTMCAGACTGATATATGTAAATAAACTYGCACCACAGTTTTTTCTCATCAATATTTAATATTTAACTCCCAGTGACATACACAGAACAGAGGTTAGGAAGTAAAAATAATTCATCTATAGCTGATTAAAGCAATCACCTGACAAGCTTCCAAAAGACAAAATCAATCAGTAGATCATGATGAGCAAAGGAARGTAAGATTGAACTAAAAGGATGATTATTTTTTCCAGTGCGCTTTATTCAAAAAGGGCTGTGTTTTTCCCAGATCCCACCAAACAAATCCCCTTTTGGGTACAGACATGCTACTTTTCCTGATGACTACTGGGAGGCTCAGACCCCTGAACTCTTCAGCTGCCAACTTTTTGTTTGTCAAGGGACATACCGAAATGCAATTTTTGCCCTTATATCCTACTTCTGCAATAGAAGGAGACTCCTGGCTTTTAACACTTCCCTTCTTTCACGAGGGTATTCTGTTAAGACCACGTTCACACGATTGAGACAGTATGRAAAGATGGTACAGCTCTGGTTCTCATTCATGGAATTTATCAGTAGCTGTTGAGGACACATGGAGCACCATCTCTGAAGTCACCCTTGCAGAGTCACTCTGAGATATCTTTCTAATGAAAATAATCCCAGATAATTTCCCAGTCCCCTAACACACATCCATAACTGCCTTACAAGCTTTCTACTTGGAGTAGCAGAACTGCATGAGCTTATTCCAGTCTTAGAAGGTTTAAAAAACTGCCAAAACAAATCTTCAGTCAGTGTATATATATATATATATATATTCACAGATACAGGTGTATGGGATTCTTTCAGGATAATTTTGTGAAATTATTTTTGAAGTCCTCAATTTTATTTCATTTTTATGTTATACATGAAAAAACCTGCTAATGCACACACAGATATTTCTTCTGCTCTTCACCCAAACTAGTCAAACACTACTAGTCAAACACTGACAGATGAAATCTTGATCTATCACAAGATTCAGAGGTTCTACAACACAAAAATCTTTTGATTTTAACAGAAATCACTTCTCAAGCACACACACTGGACTATAGCTTAATATTTTACAGAATTACTCTGGGTAGTCGAGACTTTCAATTTTAAAAGCAGAGCATTCATTCTGGCTTATATCAGATAACAGGACAAGAAACTTGCCTTGTGTTCCGCTTGATCTTCCATCAAACCTCTTGCCAAAGCTAACTGTGACTCAGAAGATATCAAAGGCTTACAACTATGTGATATGGAAAATAAAACTGCCCTCTTCACAGATCTTATTTTCAGCCTTGAAGGTAAAGCAAAATAAGTATGATCTCTTTTAGATGACTCAAAAGCTATTCAGTTTTCATCTACATACTGCTATGTCAGCAGCTTTACCCTTACGTGCTCATAAACCTACCAAATTTTCAATGTAACTGTCGTGTAAAAGGTTTAAGTATCTTGGAGTGATATCTCTTGTGATATAACTAAACTGTTCACTTTTAATCTACAGCCTCTTTTGAAACCATTGAAAAGAGATCTTGAAATATGATACTTTTTTACTTGCAGCTTTATTAATTCATATGAATTTGATTAAGAATACTCTCCTGGATTTCATGTTATCTTCAAGATCTTCCTCTTATTCTTCCTGCTCAGCTTAAGAAGAAGATTAATCAGATTTAAGAAAAAGAAATAATCTGGCAAGGTAAGAGAACAARGATCAACTTGTTAATATTTCAAAGAGACAAGCTACCAAGAGATATAAAATTTCTGATTAGAAAGATTTATAAGCAATCCTAAAATATACACAGAACTGATTATATTGTAAGTGAAGTCTGAATCCCTTTACAATAAGGCAAACCTCAGCTTCTCACTGCTATCATTGTCAGCTCTCAAATTCAYGAGCAGATCTTAATATCAAAAATCATAACGAATACGATTTATCCAAACAGTGTGTGCTCAAAGTCAGAACAAAACTACATGGATRAGAATATCAGGGTCTGACACTTCAGTGAAGGCAAATCTACTTTGGTTTAATGGAATTACTAACAACAAGGGTTCTCTCTTAAAAGAAAAGGAAAACTCAGACAATCTTAACTGCAAAACAAACAAGTTGTACAAATACCAACTCGGTAAAACAAGAACTACACATACTTTTACCCAAACATGAGAATAGCTTTGATTAAACACAGTTCAACTTTAATGCTTACAAATGCAATGGAAAAGGCAAGCCTTCTGCTTGCAGAGAAAACTCCCTTTCATCGTTACAGATTGCAAATGTATTTGCCATTAATTCCTTTTACACACACATACACCTCTAGGGTGCTATCCAAAAGCAGCCAGACAAGTTTGTTGCACAGAAATCCATTTACAGTACAACAGCAACAAACCTCTAAACCAACCTATTTTGTCAGAACTACATTTGCATCCACTTTGGTAGCCTCAAAACATCACAGCTAAACTTAATGAAGGAAAGGGGGACTTGATGAATGAAAGTCTTCAAGCACACAGCTAAGTACAATACAGACTGTAAGTGAAAGAACAAACTCCCCACCTCTGTGAGCTCCCTATTTTGGAAGGAGGGAGATTAAGTAAATTGCCTGGTATCCGTTGCCCATGTATGTGATACAGAAGTATTTTGGGAAGGGATAAAAGTCGAACAACATTGTCCCTGCCAAGCAGGGGCAGGAGCAGAGTAGGCAGGATACCCACAGCCACCTCCACGGAGTGCCCCAAGATCACAGCCCAGCCGAGGGGAACAGTGGCTGTCAGCAGYGCAACAAACACTGCCCCTAGCAGGTCTTCTGAAGAACCATGAAGCCATTAAATAAAAGAGTAACACCACGGTTGTAATTGATTGCTCYAAATCTGTCATTCTGTTTTACCCCCTGAATCCAAAAAGTAAGAATATCCTGAAAATTGCATGGCCTGTAAGCATAACTCTGCAAACTAACTCTGACGTAAAGTCCTAGCATGCACATGAACAAAAGTTTACCTAGAGAAAAATGACAAGTCAAAAACCATCCATGCACAGCTCAGTCACTGTCTCCTCCATCCCCTCATCCTCTCGACCTTCTCCGCACATTTTGCTTTCAGAAATTCACAGGGTACTTCCCAGATGGGGGCCAAAACTCTCCCAAGGAGGCATGAGACATTGGAAAGAGGTGCAGGCCACAACAAACACCCAGCACAAACGTGAAGTTTCAAAAACAGGATTGCGAACAAGTGCTGCACCCAGCTAATACTGTCTGACAGAAGACGATGATAGAAAAGCGTACTACWTGGAAAAGCGTACACTTGGAAAAGCGTACAGGAAAAACAGTTTGGGAAACACCGATCCAAGAGTTTGTCTACTACTATTAAGCTGCTTTTAGTGCCCTATTACACACGGGTCAACTTTACATCATCAATAAACTGTATGTGCTTCAAGATAATGATTAATGGAGTCCATCTCCAGAGTCTAACACCTAGACTGGGACAATTCTTCACAAAAAGCAGCTTCTTTTYCCCCAAAGTGCTGGGCTGTAGAGATTGTCTTTGGAAAACTAACTCCCTGTTTGGGCAGGACAYATTTAGTATATATTATGTACTAAAAAATGCAAGCAATAAGAGACCAAATCTGAAGCTGCTTGAAGTTTAAGAACATAATTACAGGCTTGTCTTAACACAGTCAATCTTGTGTGCTGTTGTGACAGTCTGTGATGTCTTATACACACACACGAAAAAAAAAAGTCAGATAGAAAGCTGCAGAAAGACTAATCTGGGAGAGAAAAAGAATGACAAAAAGAACCACAAAGATCTGCAAACGTGAAGCTACCAAATGCCACCAAGAATGCAAGGAAGCTTCTCAGACCAGCTAATACTAATACTCCTCCGTAACCTCTGTGTGGGGACAGTCCYGTCCCCAGGAGAGCCTCATTCCTGCCCTTGAGCTGTGGCAGCTTCCACCTGCCCATAGCAGGAGCAGGGAAGCCGCTCGGAGCAGCCCGGTTCTGGGGCCGCAGGGGCTGCTGTGCGGGCAGCAAAACCTACAGCAGCTGGTGGGGCACAAGGGGCTTGCGGGGGACTCTGCCAAGCGAGCACCACTGGAGAAGGGGAAAAGGTCTCTAACAGATCACAAGTTCTCCCACGCTCTGGTTTTTAAGCCAAAAACACAGAATTTCTCCCTCCCTCCCTTCCTTCCTTCCCATCTAAACAGCAAAACCAGGAAGAAGCTGAGACCTTGCTAAAAAGGTAGAATCACCTTCCTGCACTTTGGTGGGGGTCTCACTTCAAATAAAATCTTTTTTTCTCTTGAAATACACATACAAAGTAACACCTCCCCCTCCCCAAAAAAGTCATTTCTATAAATAAGGAAGAAAAACTCCTCTCTCCCTCCGCTCAATCCTCTTTCCAGTATCACTTTTTGATTCTCTGGACCAAAGGTCCACCCCGTGATGTTTCATATGCTTATTTTCACAGGGCAGGGGTGTGTGCATACCCACATAAACACACTTACAAGCGCCTTACGTATGCGCGCGTACACAAGTTACGTAGAACTTTTCCTCAGCAGGCCGTTTCAACACGAAGCCCAGGAAGCTGGGCCAAAAGGAGGGCGATCCCCTGAAGGGAGACGCGGCGCTTGCCCCAGTCGCCTCCTCACGTTACCAATCCCCCTTTTCCCTTCCCTCCCCCCGCGGCCGTTGGGGGAGCGTCGCCCCCTCCCCACACGGCGGCCGTTGGGGGAGCGTCGCCCCCTCCCTCCTCCCCACCCTCGGCGGCCGTTAGGACGCTTCTCCCGCCACTCCTCACCCGCTCCTCCACGCAGTTGACGATGATGGAGGGGTACTTGCGGCTGAGCCAGCGGAAGAAGGCCGGGACTCCCATGGCTCCGGCGGAGGCCGCGGGCGCAGCGAGCGGCGGCCCCGAGCGCTTCCGGGGACAGGGGCCGGCGCGGGGCAGGCTGGGCCGGCGTGGTCACGTGTGGGGGGGGGGCGCCAGGCGGCACCGCCATCTCGGGGCCGGGCGCGCGAAGGGCGCGGGCGCCATCTTGGGGCCGGGCGCGCGCGGGGCCGCTGGTGAAAACCCGAATTTC